AATACAAGGTCAAAACAGGCCGTTGCAGCTGTTCATATTGTCTGAGCAATTTTCTTGCACACACTTAGAAATTTTATATCATTACAACAGGGTGACACAAAGAAAATCATTATATCCCGATGTTTCTTCTAAATGGGATCGCTTCCACAGAGCACAAGCACACACTGACTCACTCATTCAAACAACCATGTTATTTTTTTCAGACCCCCTAACAGACCTTTGTGAGGGTGGGTGGGGAGCGCACCGCATGCCAGATCCTGCATAGTTTGATCAAAAGGGTGAGAACATCACCATGACTGATCTCTTTCCTCTTCCTGCCTAACAGGGAGATTACAGTCCTTAGTCCATCAGCCTCATTGTCACAGAACAAACTCTTATGTTGCTTCTGCCAATCTGACAAAGAGAGAGAAGCGATTTGCGGAACAAATGGCCGCGTCAGCTCCAGGCAAGAGGTGGGTGAGTGAAAAGAAAACTATTTACGGTTGTCTGAAAAGAAAACAAACAAACAAAAAAAGATACCCTAAGTGGAAAGTTTTCTCTATTTCTAACCGCTAATATAATTCAGCTCCCAGTGGGAAAAGACATCAATGATGTCATCACTGGGCAGTCACACTCTTTGAAAAGATGTTGTGTGTCTCCACTGGATTAATCTTTGAGCATTTTGTATTGAGTCATGTATGGCTTTTGATACCTTCCTGGGCCCAATACACACGACCTGTTTTGTTTGTTTAAAGAGAAGGAATAGCAATCTTTCTTTTGATGCAGGATTATACAACATTCTTGATTCATTAAAAATCACATGCAGCAGAGTAACCCATTATTTGAGCTTGCTTCAGCTGTGTTGGTGTTTCGTATGAAACGACAAGGACACAAAGAAACCAGGGAACTCATGCTGCATTCGAGGAGGGTGGGAAGCCGGATTTATCCCACTCGGATTGTTCCAGTTCCGACCTCAAAGCGTTTTGAGTCGAATGTAAACAACAAAGATGGGCGATTCTGATAAATTGTTTGTTGTTGTGGTTCATTCCAACACATTTTGAACGTTGGCAAACCTTCTTCATAATGTCATTTATATAAAGGAATACCATATCTTCAAAGAATTTCATTCATTTCACCAATTAATTTCATGCAGGCATATAACGGCATATCTTCACATAGTCAGTGCAAATCATGTTGTGTTATGTGAAATTACATATAACTGAATTAATGTTAAAATAAAGAGATAAATATATATTTATAATCTTGTAAATTCGGTTTTACACGGTCTGTGTCTACCTGTAGGGCCCCCGTCGTCTCCCATGAAACAAAACCAAATACGAATGTAGACAAAAACCGGTCATGACAGGCTGTATGTACTGCTTATGAAATCGATACTCAAAATGGGCGGTTGTGAAATAAAATACGTGCCATAATATCGCGCCATTTGTTGGCAAACCTCTGTTTTTTTCCATGCTAGACATGAACCATTTTGATTTTGGCTACTCGTTAATTATGTTCTACGCGACCACTGGTAAGGTCGTCTAGTGGCATCACCAAAGATGTACACAAGATCGGTTGACTTCTCTTTATGATGACAGGCACAGTGATGATGGTTGACCCTTTAAGGATTTGAGACTTTTGGTCAATTGCAAATTGGACAACTTCAAGGGCGTTCCACTGTACCACGCTGCGAATGGTTTCGGCAAGTTCCTGTTGTAAAAAGAATCTTATGAGAATAGGAGAACACCTTTTTTTTGTATATTGGAATGATAGCAGGTTTGACAATATAATGTGATGCATCCTTGGCTTGTATGGAAACCAGTCATGTATCCTCATTGAAATGTGTAGCACAAGGCCACATCCTGCCATTTTGACTGTTCTCGGCAAGATGCCGACTTTGGATTTAAACAACACATGTTCTGCGAATGTTGATATTTCAAGTCAACGAGAATGCAAGTACAGACAAGAATCCACACAGCGTAAAAGCCTCTGCCTCCTTGTCCACACACAAGGAGAGTAGCAGCCATGGTGTGTCAAAAGTAATGTTTATCTGGAAACTTTCTTGCTAATTCTAATGTTACGGTATGCCACAAGTCTAGTAGGGGATATATTATTTTGATATTGGAGAAACAAGAGCTGGGGAAATTCTCAAATCATGTTAATAGTAGGATACCCCCTAGATGGAGCATCTAGTTCTTAGTGGGTTGCCAGAGTTCCAGAAATGAAGCACGTGATTAAATAAAAAGGTTATTGTTCACTGACAATGTACAAGATGGATGACCTTGTCAGCGGTGATACCATTTTGATCGTTCACATGTACGAATGTTCCGCACCTCCACTGTTTTTTTTTTTGTGTGTGTGATATACATATTTTATGGCTCATTAATACTTCCTTTTTCTTAAAGCATATACTAAAATACAAAATATTTTTGATGACTTAAAGATGTTGAGTAAGCAATTGTGACCTTTGAAAACAGAATTTACTTTTAAACAGCCACAAATAAGCACAAGCCCAGTTGCTTGCGTAAGTGGGCAATGGGTTCATAGCTTGTGTGGTGCGACCACTAAGCCCTGCTGTCCAGCCTTGGGACACTAGGTGTTCGCTTGAAAAAGAATAAAACGCAATAAAACAATTAAAACCAAAAAAACAGTTCCTATATTTTTTTTTCTGCAGGGGCAGATTCAGTGTGAAAAAAATATGTGCCCCTTTTGATGGATTTAACTCATTCTGGTGCTGACTTACAAAGCCATCATCGACTCTTTATGGTATTCAGCTTGGAGTTTGTAGATGGTTGACTTACAAGAGCAGCAGGAAATGCCAAAATACATATGGCATTAGTGGCATATATTGCCATATTTTTTGGAGGGGAGGGGGGAATATTCAAAGTTGCCTTCACTGGTCAACTCCCTTTCACGAGGCTTATTAGTTTTAGACCAGATAAAAAAAACACATCTCATCAGTATCATTAACTTTTTGATTGCCAGTAATTACCGTATTGCCCCGAATATAAGACGGTGTTTTTTGCATTGAAATAAGACTGAAAAAGTGGGGGTCGTCTTATATTCGGGGTCTAGACATTATACCCATTCACGACACTAGATGGCGCCAGATATCATTGAACTTGACTCCCCAGGCCAAAATGAACCCCTGTCACGAAGAATAAAAATAAAAATAGCGGTAGCACGAAGAAGAAAAATAAAAAAAATCGCGGTAAGAAAGAAAAGAGAAGAAAATAATAGAAGCGATAACAGAAAATGGAGAAACGTAGTGACAATCTGGAGAAAAGTGGGTCCAAGATCAGCCAGGTTAACCGGCAGCTGAGGAGAAGTTATGATGTCATTTACATTTCAAAAACCAGAAGCCATTCATTTACAAATGTGATTGCACTTTAGTTTACATATTTAAATGTTCAGATATTAAGATTTGAATGAGGCAAAATAACATGCTTTTTCTATCAAATATATTGTCATAATCATTTGTTTCAGATGTACTGTAATTATTTTCTGTACAAGAATTAATCTGATGTTCAAAAAGTCTTTTTTGAAACTTGAGTCTTGAAAAAGGGGGCGTCGTCTTATAATCAGGGCCGTCTTATATTCGGGCCAATACGGTATCTGCGCTGCGATTGGCTGGTAACCAGTTCAGCGTGGACCCCCGCCTGCTGCCCGAAATCTGCTGGGATAAGCTCCAGCACGCCCGCGACCCTCCTGAAGATAATCAGATTAGATGGATATCTGCGCTGTTTTACAAATACTTGTCGCCAGCTGGCCTTAAAAAACACGTTCCTAGTTTACGTGATGTGAAAATCCCTAAACGCAGCATGCTTGGTCAAAGGAGAAAATTTGTCATCTGCGGCTCATCTCTTCTTCACCACTTCTGGTCCATCGCTGCCCTGTCGGCACGGCGAAATACCGCAGTTGCAATTAAAAATGACACTTTTCATGATGTCAGAGCTTTGAGAGCTCGAAACAGCCTGGAATTAAGCAGAGGCCTCCACATTTAATGAAAAACTGTCATTCAGTCTTTGTAACAATGTCAAAAAGAAAAACCAACCAGGATATACTGTAAATTCATAGTGATGATTAATATTCCCAAAATTATATGATTTTGATGAAAAGCCATTCCATTTATTTTTGTCATTCGTTTATTTATTCATCCAGGAAAGGTAATTCACAACAGATTCTCATTTGCAATACTGACCTGGTTGCAGATAGCAGTTGCAAAGGATTTGGTCAACTTTAAGCACATTTCCATCCTCAAACACATATGCTATTAAGTGTCACAGAGAAGCTTGAGATGATCTCGGCTGGCTTGGATGAGTTGACGACACTGGACCGGTCAAGCACAGGGCGCATATGCAGACAAATAACCATTCACACAGTCACTGTGAGAACTGAACCCATGTTGCCTGCACCGACGTCATCAATGGCTCATGAAGTTGCCCATTCACTAATGAGGATAATGATTGTAATAAATCTACTTTTTTTTTCATATTTTGTGTTTGTAACATGGAGGGTAAAAGATGTTTCCCTCTTGAATGCCGAGTTTTGTGGAAGAGTGGATGAGATTAAGGGATCAAATTTCCCACTTGAGTAGCTAAACACTTGCAGATTAAAAGACACGAGAAAATTCAGATGATGTAATTTCGGAGAAATTGTGTCAATGCTTCGTTTTATCAAAACTTTTTCCACTCAGTTTTATTGAGGCCATTGTTCAAGTCAGAATTGTTCCCTTCAAGTAAAATGGCAAGTCAAAAATACTGAGTACTAATCTCTGACCCAAGATTCAAGAGCTGACCCGAGATCATAAGGGTCAATTGTGATAGTAAATTCTCTCAGGGTTGTGATTTTGGAACTTTGCCCCGGTTTTGCCGGCAACAGTTTCGTTTAATTACCTTTGAATTTGTTGAACAATCTAATCACATTTAATAATGAATCAACGTGTACACATCTGTGTCCTCTTATCACCATCTGTTCGTCCCTGCTTTTCTCTTCTCATCTGTCTGGATTTTGTATTCCAGCTAACTGCATCCCTCAGTGCCAAAACGGAGGAATGTGCCTCAGGCCTCAGCTCTGTGTCTGCAAGCCTGGCTCAAGCGGCAAGGCATGTGAGCAGAAGACTGTGCCCACACACACCCTTCCAGCGCAGCCTGGGAAAGGGCCGACCAACGATCATAGCACCGGTCACACGAATGGACACAACGCAGGAGCACAGCGGCCCATACCTCAGAAAGTACCTCCTCATGTTTATGATCTCCCCCCACCTCAAGCAGACAACATTGCCCAGATGAAACTGACTGTCAAACCTTCCCCACATCTTGTGAGGCCGCATTATATCCAACAACACATCCAGCAACAGTAAGAACTCTTTTATTTATTTACTTAGTGATTTATTGATTTATTAAATTTAATATCTCACTGTAAACATGTGTTATTTGCATTGCGATGAATTGGAGATTTTAGTTTGGATGTTAAAATGGTGCCTTTCAGTTTCAATGTCAACACAGGTCATATTTTTCTCTTACTTTGTATATCCATCGCTCTTCATTTGTTTTGTTGTGCATTTTAGGGCGGGGCTTCTATAAAAGACTGCCTGCTTCCTGCCTGCAGCAGTAATTTTGTTTATTACTGAGGTTGTAGGTTGCAGTGGTGTGTGACCTGCATCATCATGAACGGCTGTAATGAATATTTTAGCAACCACACTTCGACTCACGCAAGCATTTTTTTTTTAACATTAACTGTACAGTGGTACCTCTACTTACGAACGTCTCTTCATATGAAATTTCTAAGTTACGAAACACCACAACAGGAAAATATTGCCTCTTGTTACGAAAGAATGCCAAGATACCAAAGGTAAAAATAAGAGTATGGGCTGCTACTCGCAGCTCCGAGTTTCTTAATGCAACATAGTTATAGCTGCTCTGCAATTGGCTATTACGTAGCATCTTCCTGGCGTCCCATTGGCTAAGAGGGATGTGTCTATGTGTGTAGATAGATAGATATGTGTCTGTGCAGCATCCTCGTCATTCGCCCCCCGGACTATGAGATGTTCTGATAGTTTTACGTAAATGTGAATCACCCAGAAAAAGTGTTCACCAGTCAGGCGATTGCTCACTACAAAAACAAACGTCCTTAGATCAAGTCTTTACAAAACGGCAGGCAAAAACCACTTCTGAGAGAGAACATGAACTAAAGAGGGTAAAAAAATGATGAGGATGCAGTTAAAAGTTAAATGACCATCATTTTTATTCTTTATTCGTTGTTTTTTACACTATGCACAACTTTCATTTATTGTGCAATAATGTAATTGTAACATGTAGTTGTTACATATTTTGATGCATTTTTATGCTTAAGAAAACATTTATGTCTGAATTTTGGGGGGGGGGGCTTGGAACGGATTAGGGCATTCATATGGAAAACGCGTCTCTCCTTACAAAATATTCTAGTGAAGAAATTTCTTCCAGAACCAATTAATTTCGTAAGTAGAGGTACCGCTGTATCTTAAAATCGAATCCCTTCGACATACTGAGTGTGTTTTGCCACCCAATTGACAAGCAAACAACAGCTATCTCATATGGAGCTAGCTAGCGGCTAACGTAAGAATTGCTATTTCCACTCATTGGCCTCCTTGCAGTTAAATATTATAAAACAATGGACTAAAATGCCAAACACCTTTCTAGACTATTTAAATGGGAGTACTTTGCTGCTTGATATATTGGCTGGGAATAGAGCAGTAACAACCTACCACAACATTGACTTAAGATCAAACACTTCTGATGAGTCATCCGCTTGGCTACTGGAATGCTAACACCAGACACACGTATTTTGACACAGTCACAGTCTTTTCTGCTCCTGCTTCCAGGGGATATTTTTTTAATTTTCCTTACCATCATCATCCTTTGAGAATAGGTCAAAAGAAAAGGCAAATACACAATTTGTGTCAATGATTTTCATTTTTTTTAAAGTTGCAAATGTTTAGCTGCTTGTGTAGCTTTCTTTCTGATGTGAGGAATCATTTAATAATTGACGGATGTGAGTTGGACCGCCCTAAGTGTATATTACTGCACATATATATCGTTTTCACAGATCAAATTTTACAACGAGAGTATGTCTTACAAGTTATTACAAATCATAAATCATCCAAATAAACCTATACAGTATTTGCACATCCCGTGAATTATGTCTAGATGTACAAGGATCTTGTTCTTTCAAATACTGTAAGAATAAAAGTAACTAGACCGACGATGTTGAAATATTAACATCTGGGTTGAACCATTTCAAATGACAGACTAAGATAAGATAATATAAGATAAGATAAGGTAAGGTAAGATATCCTTTATTTGTCCCACACTGGGGAAATTTACAGTCTACAGCAGCAAGATTGTGGGTAGAAAGAAGAAAAAGAAAACTAACAAACTAACAAAACTACTACAACATAACAAAAATAACAAACTAAAAAAAAATAACAACACACTTCAGCCATCTTCCCCTTCTTTCTCTAAACCTTCCCTCAAAGACAATGTCTATCTATTGTTTTGCGTTGAACCATTATTCGGTTCAACACTTAAATTCAGCGGGTCGTCTTAAATTTAAGCGGATCGGAAATAAGTATTTGTCGTTTTCTACTCATTCTCATTTTGGAAATTAACATAAATGTCCATCAGATTTTATTCACTTTCGTCACATCCCAAAGATTTGCACGATTGGTAATGACACTAAAAGGAAGTGAATCTTGTGAAGTTGGTCTCCTTTTGTAGAACGCTTGAGTGTGTCTGTGGGAATTTCTGTCCACCGATCCAGAAGAACATTTGTGTGGTCAGACGTAACTGATCCTGGACATGAGGTCCTGGCTCACAATCTCTGTTCTGTCTCATCCCAAAGGCGTTTGATGGAGTTGAGGTCAGGGCTCTCGAGTCTTTCAGTACCAAACTAATCCCAGCATGCTCTCTTGTGACTTGCTTTGTGCATCTGTCACAATTGAAATCATCACTGACTCTGCTTTTGAGAGAATGGTTTGTACAATGATTTATTTCCCCTTTGGGAAAAATACCATTGGAGTGGCCCTCTTTTCTGCTGGGAGCCACATTTAATGGTTTGATGTACTTCAGCTGCAGCATTTGACCCTTTCCGCAGAAGCGTTTGTGTCGTCAGCCATTACAATAGAGTTAACCTATCGTCCATGATTTATTGGGTGAATTGCACTGATGGTCACATTCCAGCCCTACAAGCACACATAGCTAAAGGGACTGCACTACAGTGCCATTTATCTGTCAGTGCAATAGTTCATCTGTCACAATAGCAGCACTTATGGGGAACATTAGTACTGGCGTTGTCATTATTTCTCCGACGAGTCCATCATGCCAATCGTCTTCCTGTTGGCCTACTGTTGCAGAGCGGAATCTTGGTCAGTCTTTTTTGCTGATCCATGGTATTACTCACCAACAATTGACTTGAAAACATCCCTGATGCATCACAAGACGTCTATGAATGGCAACCTTTTAGAAATTGCCCTTATTTAGAAACAAGCAAAAACAGCGCAGAAATACTTCCTATTAAACATCAAATTTGTGTCCGTATAACCCAGGTGTGACCCCTGACCTTAAGAGTAAGGCAAAGTTGATGGCTTCATGGAAGAGCTCTAGTTAGCAAAACTGCCTCGCAGTTTCTCTTGTGCTTGTGAGGGTTTTATCTGGGTATTCCAGCTTCCTCTCACACTCCATTAAATGTCGTGGATGTTTGTGTATATCGTATGCACCCTGTGACTGACTCGTCACTGGTCCACAGTGCTTAAGTAGTATACTATTGTCACTTTGCAAACAAAGGTAACATTGTTTCTAGTAGATCTGAGCGATTTTGAAAAATGATGTGATTTTTTTTTTTTTTACCCTCTCAGTATTGCAATAGCCATTTAACAATTTATATTTTATTTTTTCCTGGTCCTCTTCCAGTGTATTCAAACAAATACAAGCAATAAATTAGTCTTTATTACAGCATTACGGATATACAACATTATCAGATGTACTATACATGCTGTATATGTTTTGTTCTTATAGGTAACGCTTATGCTATAAATAAGGTAAAATAAACCTTGAATTAATATGAAAGTTAATTTACTACAATTTGTGCAGTTAACTTACTAAACACTTGAACTTGCCGTCTTTTAAGCGTTCACGACAACAACTTCACTAAATTCTAGCAAAAAGTGTGGTGTAAGCAGAAGCGAGTTCGTCATAAATCAGGGAACAACAAACAATGCAAACAAATTGATAGATTTATCACTTAAACATTTTTATGGTGGGTATTTATGTGACTCTCATCTAGAAACTTTTTATTTTAATTTATGACCTCTTTAAATGCAACCATTGCGGAACAAGCTAGCTTGTCAAAAAATGATTTACACTTGTCAAATTTCTATTTCACGTTACGTCATTTGGACGTGTCACAGTTGCTAACCTGTCTGTCGCTCTCTCAACTCATCTGCCACTCAAGTGAGGCGAGGCAGCTTGTTGCTCCAAACACAATTTAATAAGGCGCTGCAGCGCTGAGACAGAACACTAGCTGTGCACAGAGGGTCTGTGTGTGTGTGTGTGTGTGTGTGTGTGTGTGTGTGTGTGTGTGAAGTATAAAATTAAGCTATTATTGCTCTGTTTGACAAGAAATATATAGATTTGGATTATTTGGTCACTTTGTGACCAATAACGTTTCAGAAAATGCCCTGATCAGCTCCGATTTCCGATCACATGATCAGATTGGGACATCCCTAGTGAGTGCCATACCATATCTTATTCTTACCATTTTGATAAAAATAACAGCAGTCATATAACCTCTTCTCATGTGATGTCACATTTGTACACCGTGTGCTGAGGCATTCACATTCGAGGGCAAAAGCAGTTGAGGGCACATGGTCGAGTGAGTGAAATAACAGAGGCCAAATAGTCGCTACCTGTGCTGTTTCAGGTTGCATCAGAGTCCTCATAGGAGCAGGCACGCTTGCGTACAATCAAGTAATTCACAATATTGTGATCACTGACTTCAGGGACAAATTGGTTTCATTTGACTAGTCTGATTTTGAACCTTGATCCGAGGGGTCGGCGTTTTCCCGTTGCCTTTCCCTCCAACCAATGTCAGTTTTTCGACTCGTGTGTTATATCTGGTTCCAATATAATGGACAGGTGTCCTAATTGGGAACTTTTTCACAAAACTAGATATAAGTAGACCGATGACCGATAACACTAACAATGGATCAGGCTGTTCTTCATGTTTTCCTTTTGCCTCCTGCGGGAGCCTCGAATATGGCGCCGGAAACTAAGCATTGTGGCTAAAATGATGTCAGAGGTAAGGGACTATTGTTGAATGTTTCGTGTTCACTTTAATGAAACGGGGGAAACAACACCATATATTCAAGAAAATCTGACACTCACTGAACAGCAAACAAATGAGCTAACATGCTGGAAGTCAGCAAATAAAGCACATAGAATTGAGCTGTTTTTCATTGTTACATGATGACATTTCTCTTTGCAAAACAAATCAAGTTATTGAACTGTCGTTTTAGGACAAGAAGAGAAACATATCTTGCGAGTTCTGAACACCTCAGATGAATTCTAGAACAGCAGCCATGGCTGCTGTTCGAGATGCATTGATGTTGTTTTTGTCCTATGAAACGACGCAAAGTAATTCATGAGGGAAGGTTTGGATTTGCTGTGACACATTTTCACATCACATCTGTTTAATGTGTTCATTTTTGTTTTGCACTTGTTCTTCGTATGCCATTAGATGTTCTTGGTCTCATTGTCGAGCTTCAGCAGCTTAGGTGTGTATTTACCGAGTGCAGAATAGAAGGAAAATGTTCGACATTTATTTGTTATCCTGTGGAATTCAGTGTGGACTGCATCGGAAACCAAAACAAATTAAGATCACTAAACTGGGATTTTGAAACAAATAAGTTTACCATGTACACATTTGATCAAAAATGACTTGATATTTGGCTTCCATCCAGATCAGGCACTCCCAAGAAACACTTTTTCCAAATGCCGTTTTTAAGGTTTTACCCACTTTGGATTCACAAAAGGCCACCTGTCTTTTAATTGGGCAAAGGAAAGACACAACTTAATTTCTTCATGCCTGAGCAGAAAGGTGTGTTGCATTTGTTGATGTATGAGAATCGAGTCTTTTTCTACGGATGTCCTTTTGAATTGCTCCACCATCTCAAGTTTCTCAGTCTCAAGTGTGTGTCTTTCTTTTTCTCCCTGGGGACAGTACAGAAGAAGCTTGACTTCTCTTCTGGGTCATTTGAGGGTGGCCCTGGGTGCTGTCCCTTCTGGATTGGTCCTGCTATGCTTCCTTGCATTCACAGCCACATTTTTTTATGCCATCTCTGCTTTTTTTGGCCCTTTAGTTGCCCATCTTGAAGCGCAGACTCTTCTGCCGGCCCTCCAACCCCGATACGGAACGGTTTTCTTTCAGGCAGGGGTGCTTGCTCACCAAGGCCTCTGCAGCCTTGCCAATCTCTCTGGGACTCGGACATGCTTTTTGTTTCTGTGTTGGGGCAGCCGTTGCCTCCAATGTGTTGTGGTTTTGAGACCTGGTCACCCTGATAGTTTTCCCCTCCCTCCCAAATGCAGAATTTCCCTCTTTTAAAACATACTCGACTTCATGGGAGAATGCCAGAACCACAAAGATTTCTGGCCATCTGCAAAGACGCTCTGATCAATCTGTGTGAAACAACAGTAATATTTGGAACTGAGAGTCGCCGCTTGGAATTGAAGCTGATATAAAATTGACAGGCGAGGCGAACCAATTTCTTTTGTTGTCAATAGACACTACAGCTTCTTGTTTACTTTAAAACTTCGCTTGTAGCCGACACGTGGGATGTCATGCACATTTTGAGCATGACGTTTCTGATCCACTGGTGAAAGGAGACTTTGATTCTCTCTTTTTTATTCTATAACTGCTTCAAAAGCAAAGCATATGAAGGAATAGTTGAAGAAGAAGATTGTATGACTGTCCGTGTTTTATGTTAGCGCTATATAAAAAAAGATGTAGTGTATCGTCTGTGCCTGTTGACTAAAGTCTTGTTCAGCCAACTTGTGATGATAGGTCACTTATGTTAAGCAAATTGCACATTGCATTGTCAAACTATGGATCTTGAACGTGAAGGCTTATGTCAAAGTTCAGTTTCATTTTGTTTTTCACCTCAAATATGAGGCATGAAAGCAAGCCTCTCAGCGTTGACACCATCAAGGACGACCCTTAATTTAAAACATCAGTTGCTTCCATTTGTACCTTTGGCAAAACCTGAAAAACCCCCAAAACAAAACAAACAAAGGCTCCCCAATTGCTGACTGTCTTGTTCACGAGCTGCCCTGACTGTTTGTGGTTGTCTTAGATGCTTCGCCTTTCATCGTAGACAGGATGATGAGTTCATGCACAATTTAGTTGATTTAGTCATACTTATTTTTACATGACATTTCATCGATATAAATGTAAATAAAACAAAAAATAATTGTTGGAATTACACCACCTCCAGTCACCAGGGGTTATTGCATACAGTCTTTGTCATGTAAACGCAAAGAAAACGCGTTAGTGGAACGAATTGAAATGTAAAATGCTCCAAAATTGTATTGCACTCCAAACAGCCGAGTTATTACTTCAACATTTTTTGGTGTATGTAGTTTTTTTTTTTGTAAATGTGTTATTTTATTTTACAGGTTGAAGTTCTGTCATTTCATTTCATTTCAAACTGAATTTGATGAAAACTATGTCGAATTTTAGATTACGCTGCTTCTTTTTCTGGTTTGTACTTGATGCACTCTTAAAATTAAGAGGTTTCGTTTAGCTGTGGAAATAAAATACATTTGCATCGCTTTGTACTCGTGACCCATTGAAGCACTCGGTTCCTTATTATTTCAACATCAGACATGTTTACCAGTGGAGGTATCTTGTGTTTGATTTTTTTTTTTTTCTCTCTTTCCCTCCAGAATCCGGTCTATGCCCATGCACCCTGGCCAGCCATATATCATAAAGCCGAAATATTACCATACACACACCACCCACACGCAGACACACATCAAACCTCAACTTGAAAGGCCCATCCCGCTCTCAGTGGCACACAACCCTATTCACGGTGAGTCCTTATTCTAATTAGCCTTCTTTTCCAAGGAGATTATCGACTCATTTTTTGGGGGACGGGGTGATTATTATTCTTTTAAAAAAATCCTTTCATAAATACTGTACCAAAATTGGTCGTGGGAGATACTTTGCCATGGGTGGGAGGAGTTTACGTCACGGTCAAACACTTCATTCAAGGAAGTTCCAATGTTTTTAACAAACTGACAATCACGATGCATGTATTGTATTAGGCAAAGGTCATGGCAAAGAAAATGCTGCAGCTGAGCACCCGTGCCATGGGAGTTTGAGTCCCAGTGAACCTTGCTAATGTGATACTATACCATGACAGAGAACCGACAAAGACACTGGAATAACCTGCAATCCCTATACAGCAAATCTGGACGACATGAATTCCAACACAGAGCCCTCGATGCTCTGATCAATCTGTGTGAAACAACAGTAATATTTGGAACTGAGAGTCGCCGCTTGGAATTGAAGCTGATATAAAATTGACAGGCGAGGCGAACCAATTTCTTTTGTTGTCAATAGACACTACAGCTTCTTGTTTACTTTAAAACTTCGCTTGTAGCCGACACGTGGGATGTCATGCACATTTTGAGCATGACGTTTCTGATCCACTGGTGAAAGGAGACTTTGATTCTCTCTTTTTTATTCTATAACTGCTTCAAAAGCAAAGCATATGAAGGAATAGTTGAAGAAGAAGATTGTATGACTGTCCGTGTTTTATGTTAGCGCTATATAAAAAAAGATGTAGTGTATCGTCTGTGCCTGTTGACTAAAGTCTTGTTCAGCCAACTTGTGATGATAGGTCACTTATGTTAAGCAAATTGCACATTGCATTGTCAAACTATGGATCTTGAACGTGAAGGCTTATGTCAAAGTTCAGTTTCATTTTGTTTTTCACCTCAAATATGAGGCATGAAAGCAAGCCTCTCAGCGTTGACACCATCAAGGACGACCCTTAATTTAAAACATCAGTTGCTTCCATTTGTACCTTTGGCAAAACCTGAAAAACCCCCAAAACAAAACAAACAAAGGCTCCCCAATTGCTGACTGTCTTGTTCACGAGCTGCCCTGACTGTTTGTGGTTGTCTTAGATGCTTCGCCTTTCATCGTAGACAGGATGATGAGTTCATGCACAATTTAGTTGATTTAGTCATACTTATTTTTACATGACATTTCATCGATATAAATGTAAATAAAACAAAAAATAATTGTTGGAATTACACCACCTCCAGTCACCAGGGGTTATTGCATACAGTCTTTGTCATGTAAACGCAAAGAAAACGCGTTAGTGGAACGAATTGAAATGTAAAATGCTCCAAAATTGTATTGCACTCCAAACAGCCGAGTTATTACTTCAACATTTTTTGGTGTATGTAGTTTTTTTTTTTGTAAATGTGTTATTTTATTTTACAGGTTGAAGTTCTGTCATTTCATTTCATTTCAAACTGAATTTGATGAAAACTATGTCGAATTTTAGATTACGCTGCTTCTTTTTCTGGTTTGTACTTGATGCACTCTTAAAATTAAGAGGTTTCGTTTAGCTGTGGAAATAAAATACATTTGCATCGCTTTGTACTCGTGACCCATTGAAGCACTCGGTTCCTTATTATTTCAACATCAGACATGTTTACCAGTGGAGGTATCTTGTGTTTGATTTTTTTTTTTTTCTCTCTTTCCCTCCAGAATCCGGTCTATGCCCATGCACCCTGGCCAGCCATATATCATAAAGCCGAAATATTACCATACACACACCACCCACACGCAGACACACATCAAACCTCAACTTGAAAGGCCCATCCCGCTCTCAGTGGCACACAACCCTATTCACGGTGAGTCCTTATTCTAATTAGCCTTCTTTTCCAAGGAGATTATCGACTCATTTTTTGGGGGACGGGGTGATTATTATTCTTTTAAAAAAATCCTTTCATAAATACTGTACCAAAATTGGTCGTGGGAGATACTTTGCCATGGGTGGGAGGAGTTTACGTCACGGTCAAACACTTCATTCAAGGAAGTTCCAATGTTTTTAACAAACTGACAATCACGATGCATGTATTGTATTAGGCAAAGGTCATGGCAAAGAAAATGCTGCAGCTGAGCACCCGTGCCATGGGAGTTTGAGTCCCAGTGAACCTTGCTAATGTGATACTATACCATGACAGAGAACCGACAAAGACACTGGAATAACCTGCAATCCCTATACAGCAAATCTGGACGACATGAATTCCAACACAGAGCCCTCGATCAGGCAACAGTATAATTGCTGTTTTTGACTTGATTTGCACTGCATAGTTCAACTGACGATTCCATTTTTTTTGCTCTGGCACCATTCGGATATGCTTCATGGCAGCGTGAAGAGGGGAAAAAAACCACATGGAATTGCATATCTCAGAATACAATCAGGCCTCTTTCAAATGTGGATTAAAATTGGATTTTATCAGATCGTTATGTGCCAATATGACCGCAACGAATGTTTGCAAAATTGCGTATGACCACATAAGCAACCGCAAATGAAACACCTGCTGTAAATCTGAACTATAGAAAACACAAACCATTAGATATCATCCATTATCTGAAAACATAGTAGTCAGAATTAAGTCAGAGCTGAGGTAAAAAAGTATGACTTTAGCATCCTTTTAAAAATAGCAGCACTCCTCTGCATCGGGGCTGTAGACCTGGAACCTTGCCTCGTCATGGGTCTTAGTTTTGTTCCCTAGCTTAGTTTTTATTTCTGGCCATTGCTTTAAGGATTGTACCGGAGAAGGGTCCCCAAGTTCTAAGATCAACTAAATAAAAGGATGATGGCCTCCTTCGGGTGACAAGAACCTAGCATGACCTCTGCGCAAGGATGAAACGCAGTTTTGTGAAGTGAATCCAAAGAGTAAAGGGACAGGCACCTGAGGGATGCTCGAAAATCTGGGCCTCGTTCAATTGGTCATTTATGAAAAGTATGTGTTGTTGCAGAAAGGACACGAGCAAGGTCGATGAGGAAGAAAATCGTGACAGACACAGCAATATTGTCACCCCGGATATATCATCTCTTATGATGGGTCCGGCAATGCTGAGGCGTCGCCGCATTGTGTCAAGCTCATAAGAGTGAAGCCTTGCGTTGGTGGGCCTATCGTTTTCAGCAAAAGCCACATGACCGATATAGCCACTGTGTCAAATTGGGTCCCTGCCAAAAGAATCACACATCTTTTGAAGTGGGTCAAAGGATGGTACACACCAAAGACTGGACACCCCATACCCAGAAAGTGTATGCGGTCAAGTGCCATTAGGAATGCACTGACGTATACATTGAGGAAATCAAACAACCACTACGCAGGATGCACGGCACAACACACGGGCTCAGCTCTTCAGTTCAAGACTCAGCTGTCTACGTGCACCTCAAAGAGGAACGGCAGTCTTTGGAAGACAAAAATGCAGTTATCATGGACAGAGAGAACAGATGGTTTGAAAGAGGAGTGAGAGAGGCCATCTGCATTAAAACAGAGGAGGAGGCTGACAACACCACCTGTCTCTCACACACAATGTTGTCCTTTCGGCTTAACAATTCAGCCTTTTGCAAAGAAAAAATAAGCACAGCCTCGATTGGCCTCGAGGTGGCTGCAGTCCTTTTTTGCCAACCGAATGCAATCGTAATGCATTTCACTGGAAAATAATAAAAGTGATTGTGCATCCAAAAGTTACTCATGAAATGTGGTCTAATCTTGATCCAAGTCACAAGAGACAATTTTCTTCAACTAATACCTCACAAACAATGTTTATATCCATATTTTTACACAACACAAAAATGACAAAAATGTACATATTCCTTTGAAATATGACAGGAGATAGATTGTTTGAAGGAAGAGAGAAGCCATCCTCGGCACGCGAAGATGGAATGACCATCTCTGAAACAGAGTTGGCTTATGCCACCACCTATCCCCCACATACAATGCCGCCCTTTCTTCCCTCTTAAAGGACCTCAATGATTTTTTTTCCTCCCCACCCCACCCCCTTAAAAAAAAAAAAAAAAAAAAAAAACAACTGAAACATTCCCCAGTGACGGCAGCTCCACTACCTTTTTACAACTGAATGGTATATTAATGAGGGAGTTTCCACCCAACGACTTGTTGACAGAGGCCTCCCTGCAAAGTATTTCAGCCACTGTTGGGTTTCCCTCCTGTGGCAATGTTTTTAATGTAGGAACATCCAATTTGCTCTGATTAATTTTGACTTGTGGAGTTTGATTTTTTTTTCCCCCTGATTGGGGTGCAGGAGGTGCACAACCATCCAGGATTTAATTTGGATAAATTTGAAAAGCATTTGGGCTGTGGTCATCTGGAGAAATAGGAAGTGCAGCGTTGACAATCATCATCAACTGAAAACTGAACTGATCTCAGGGGCGGCATATGCATGTCTTGTGTGTTGGACCTATTTGATTTCCGGATGAGTCTTCACTCTGGGTGATATCAAATATTGTGTTAGGGAGGTAGCATTTTAAACAAAATTGAAAATCATCGGTCATATTTTGCAGCCTCTTTAAAATACACCACTGTGACGTTACGAAACAAAGTTTGCACTTTTGGAAACAAAGAGAGTTTTCCCACATCCATATGAGTTACAATATTAGTCTAAACCTTTTTCAAGCCTGTCTTGGTACTCTAATTCATTGAAATGTTTTAATGCAAATCAGTGCACATCAGAAAATCATTTAACTAATTGAAATCAATATTTGCAAAAGTTTTGCTGACAGATTGGGCACTGGTATGTAGTACTCAACTGTCTCAACTCTGCAACTTTGCAGGTCTTCGTTATACAGGAACACAAAGTGGCCTGAAAATGTCAATATGGTGTGAGTATGGAAAATTACATATAGGTCAAGCATTATATGAGGAGAATAATTGCAGATGGAGTCCATTGTGAGTTATATGACCGTTAACTGTATTTAAATCCATGGGTGGTAAGTATCAGCACAAGCCAAATATACATAAACGTTTTATTTATTTGTACTTTCTTACCATGTACTCGCTGCCCACCGTTGACACTTTTGGGCATCTGTGCATGTGAGATTTCCATGTGTTCCCTGACTGCAAACACAGTCATGTTGGACATGCATCTCTTGAAAACGTACACAGAACTCGACAGAGATCCTCTCGGCATTGAATTGGAATTGGGCACGTGGGCCTCATGTGTCAAGGCAGCCATTGAGAAGTAGGAATAAAAAGGGTTGCAGTCTCCAAACTACTTTAAGCAGAAATCATGACTGACTGGAGCTCTTTCAAATGTAAAAATAGACACAACAAAACTCTTTTCCCAAGTCTGGATCAAACTAATAACTTCCGTAAACTTACGATGACATGTTGACATTATTTGACATACCATATCCTCCTGACTACTAGGAAAAAAAATGTTGTCCAATCACATTTATTTTGACATTCCCCAATCTATGTGAAGTAATTTGACTCCTCCAAAAAATTTTTTGAAATCCCACTACATTTTTTAAACAGGCTCAAATACACTTAAAACAACTCAAACAACACTTTAACGTGTTCATAAGAGTCTTACAATTAAAATGCCAACAGCATTTCAAGACAAAATGTGGTCGATAAAAAGTATTACTTTTCCTCTTCCCATAAAAAGTGCTTGCACTGAGGGAAGCCATTTTCTTACTTTTTCTAACCCCTACAAATTTGGTATCATTGGAAAGCACTGAATGTCCTCTTTAGAGTAACAAAAGGAGTTAATGTGATTGGAGGCACTGGGTGGGAGATATTTAGGTTCACAAATGTCCTCTACAGAGGACAAATTTGAACTACTGGTCGTCAGGAGGCTATTAATCTGACAATAAGCTACGCTGTTTTACTAACCCAAAGCCAAGCAGCGGTGCATTGCAGTCATCAACTCGCAGAGATTGGTGTTTGTGATCACTTGACATGAACATTTTAAAACAATTTGCTGTAATTCGTTGATTAATCAGTTAAGAGAGATACACATGTGGAAGTGACAATGCTCACTTCCAATCACCTACTTTGCTCCTAAGGCTCTGTGATACTTGACCCACATAACCTGTGATATGATTTTAAAAACATAAAGCAGAACTTGTACACACTTGTACTTTTTCCGTCATTTCTTGTGGTTGCGCTAGTCCAACAAAGTCAAATATTTCACCAGAACCCATTTCACAGCGGTTACAAATGCCCAATGCGGGCTCTGATCCTTAAAAAATATATATAAATAAAAGAAGAGTTTAATGTTTGGAATAATCCATGCATTTCTTCCAGCAGTAGACTTAGTGAAAGGAGCAAATGTGTTTGCTGTTCTAAATCAGGAAGCCCACAGCTTTTCTGTTCAACTTGTCACATATGACAGACGGTCGAACAGGAACTTTTTTTTTTTTTTTTTGTGCCACATCTGCTAAAACTATTCATGTCGCACCCTTCAGCTCAATGAAACTTCTGTTACATCTTTTGACAAGGTACTTGTGGCTTTGGCTGAAATGTTCTCTTCTGATTCATTATAAAAATGCTCAAATCAACGGAGACAATGATATACAGTATTTTGAAAACATTCTATCGAGTCCCTGCTCACAAAAAAGTTTGGGGGTATTCGTTTTTTCAGTGAAATCAACCTAAATTGCACCACAACCAGGGATTTGACTTTCTGTAAACTTTGCACATTCAATGGTTTGATGTTGGAGTTTTATTTAATTTTTTTTCTTTACATAACTTGCTTTTATCAAAAATATTGCTAAACTGCAAAATTCACAACAGTTTATCTATGACTCGACAAATTCATTTCCAGCGTCAGTTAAAACTGGTATTTAAACAGTTCTCTTCATCATGCCGTTTATATTTTGACCTCTTTACAACAAGACTTCACCAAACAATTGACAAACAGTACCTCGTCATTGCAAAGTCATCAGCATAGCTGTGGTCTTCCTTTAGAAATCTATTGGTCGATTTAAACGATTGCCTGATTTGAATTTCAGCTCCTTGTTAGAGAAGAGCAAATTGTACTCGTTGGACATGTGCATTCAAAAGTTTCTAGAAAGTCAAATTAAGTTCCCATTCATAGGTTGTGCATTTTAGAGTCGAACTTGAAATGGCACCCAAAATTGAGCATCCCAAACCTTTTGTCAGTGGTGTTTTTTTTTAATCTCTTTTGCTATAAAGCACATCAATAGCACCAGTAAGAAATCACATGGGACGCGCAAATAGCAATAAATTCAATAAAAATGAACCTTTATTGCAGTGGCGGGGAGGGGCGGGGGGAGTTAAGGGTAACAGCAGTGTTTCCAAAAGTGAATGGCAAGAAGGATAAGTGTCGGCTCAAGTGGTACGTGGAGGAAAAAGCAAAGCCAGGCTGAGCAGGGAGGCACTGAAAAAAAGACAATCAAAATCAAATGGTGATGCACAAATGATTAATGAAAGGAAAGAGACAAAGAGAAGGTCCCCGGAAGTGGACTCGCCAAAATAAATGAGCAAGTGATAAATACTGTACACAGAAGGAATGGGGTCTCTGACAACACATGACCAAAAAAACAAACAAACAAACAAACAAAAAACCTGCTTAGATACTTGTATAGGTGAGGCATTGCCATTGAGCCACATCATAACAACTGCTGCCTATCCTACTCGTGATGTACTTTCAGACTGGAGGCCAGGAACTGGAAACAAATCAGGTTCTGTCTCAATGTTGACAGCCAGTGACTCAGGAAACAAAAAACTGATTATACTGTTGTTTTGTAGCGTATCACCCGAAAAGTGCTTACACACTGCACTGCCCAACAGAGAGGGTCGGGTGTAGGATGGCGGTGTCCTGACGTAAGCTTGCCAAGCGACTGAACAGGAAGTGGTCTTGTGATTACTTGAGCCATGTAGTGCGAGTGTATCAAGGAATTATTCCAAAACTAATTGAGTACAGAAAAGTAGTGGGAAATTGGGAAAGTTGTTTGATTTGTCCGTTCAAGCATCAGTCAATCATTCTTTGTGAATTTTTAATGAAGAGATTTTGAGTAAGCGATGCATTGACAGCAATTGATCAGACTTTTTGTTCAATGTACATATCGATGATTGAAATGTACATCAAAGATATAGTTCTAGCAAAATATTAGGCGCACACGAGGCAAGTGTGATTAAGAGATGGTAAATATAATATCGTTTCAGTTGAAGTGTTTCTACGTACGCTTGTAGAGAACAGAAACAGGAAAACATGGTCTTGGTCATGACCAAAGAATTTAATTTGAGGTGTCTGTGGTATTCATCTTATCGGTGCTCTAAAAATCTTGTCAACCACCGCACAATAACATAAATTGATTAATCTAGAATACTCAAGGTTGTCAAATTCCGTTGTCAAAACCCAAACTACAGTAGAATAAAAAAGGGGTTTTACAATTCATGTAATTAGTTCACTGAAAACGAACAGCATGACATTTTTCGCCTGTCAAATGACACTTTTTAAAAAAATTCGACCTGAACTTTAACCTTAATGCTTGGAATTAATGAGGTTAAACAAAATCACTCTCCTTTATGGTTTGCACTTTGGCAGTGGGCAACCACACGGGAAGGATCAAGGTGGTCTTCACTCCCACTATCTGCAAATTTACCTGTGTGGGAGGTCGATGTCACAACAACTGTCAGCAGGGAAATACAACAACCATCATTAGTGAAAATGGCCGCGCCACTGATACCCTGACATCACCCAACTTCAGGATAGGTAAGTCATTGTCATTTTTGTGTGTCACCTCATTGTTTTGAATAGAGTGGAAAGAAAATTGAATTGAGTATAATATCTTGTCAGCCATTAAGCGTCTTCCCAAGACAAAATTGTGGCTTGCCCACGTATGCAGTTGGCCTTTTTGTTTAGTTGATGGTTTATTTTCAACAATGGTGTCCTTCTTGGGCATCTCCCATGAAGTTCACTTTTGCTCAAACAATGATGGATGGTGACATTGATGTGCCTTGACCTTGGAGTTCAGCTTTAATTGGTGGTTGTTCTGGGCTCTCTCTTTACCATTTGTATTATCCATCTCTTCAATTTGTCATCCATTTTCCTTATGTGACCACATCCAGGGAGTATTTTTAATCTTTTCTCGGGCTACTATCGGTTTTGTCCAGGCCTGTTTCATGGGTTTGATTTTGAAAATAATGCTGTCTAAACACAATTCAAAAGTATTGTCTGATTTTCATTGGTTAATTTTACATATTTTTTTAATCCATCCATCCACCCATTTTCCGATCTGCTTTATCCTCACAAGGGTCGCAAGGGGTGCTGGAGCTCATCCCAGCTGTCTTTGGGCAGTAGGCGGGGGACACCCTGAACCGGTTGCTAGCCAATCGCAGGGCACACATAGACGAACAACCATCCGCACTCACAGTCACACCTAGGGATAATTTAAAGTGTTCCATTAACCTGCCATGCATGATTTTGGAATGTGGGAGGAAACTGGAGTACCCGGAGAAAACCCACATAGGCACGGGGAGAACATGCAAACTCCACACAGGGTGACCGGAGCTAGAATCGAAACCATGACCTCTGACCTCTTTCCATCGGAAAATGGATGAATGGATGAAATACATTTCCAAATATTTTGCTTTCATGGCTCTCTTATTCAAAAAGGTTCCCGACCCCTGCACTGATCCATTGCAAGCCCCCCCCCCCCAAATTCAGACATAAACGTTTTCTAAAGCATAAAAATGCATCAAAATATCAATTATCAAGTACAACTTTATTGTCAAATGTGAAACATACAGCACAGATGAAATTTCTTCCCTCTCACAACATACAACAAGAGGAACCGCTGTGGGTGCACGCGCCGCCATCAAAAGGAAAGTAAACATAAAATGACAAAATAATACAGGACAACACATTTAGGAAAATTTTGTCAAAATTTTACAAGCAAAAATAAATAAATAATAATGTACAAAAATATTGCAATTAAGTTATGAAAAAAACCCTCCTGTTTATACAAAAATCACATTTTTTTTCTCAGAACAAATTTAAAAATTGCAAGAAGACAAGATCATTTTACAAGTGAGCCTATCCATTAACGAAAAAGAGATTGGCTCTCTTCTCCTGTCCCATGTAAATCCGCTGCAATTCCAAGCTGCGACTCCCAGTTCCACATCCGCGTCGGCGCTCTGCGCTGACGTCCCTTTCTTCTCGTCGTCGGCTCCATCCATGCATCCATCCAGCCGCAGACTGTCCATCTGCACCGACCTTTCCGCTGAACAAAGCGGGGCTGTGAAAATGCTGCCTACTTCAGGCGCAAGACACAAGCTCCCCGGAACTGTCCAGCAGCGACAGTCAAATGGCGCCGACATTCCTCCCGATCAAAATCAGTGCCGGTTCACGCGTGCCGCCGAGAAGGCGCAACCACCAAGCACAGATTCTTCTTCTTTGACGAACGTCGTGGCCAAAAATGCTGAAAACCATGTTTTCAGCATTCCATGTTTTATATATCTATCTAATATGTAACAAATACATGTTACAATTAGATTATTGCACAGTAAATGGCAGTTGTGTGTACTGTCAAATAAATAAATAAATAAAGAATAAAAATGATGGTCATTTAACTTTTAACTGCATCCTCATCGTTTTTTGCCCTCTTTGGTTAATGTTCTCTCTCACTAGTGGTTTTTGCCTGGCGTTTTGTAAAGAACTGATCTTTTGTCGCCTTTTAACAATCCTTCGAAAATGTCCAAGGCAAACATCAGCATAGTGAGCGATCGCCGGACTGGTCAACACTTTTTTCTGGGTGATTCACATTTACGTAAAACTATCGGAACACTTCATGGCCCGAGGGGCAAATGATGAGGACGCTGCATAGACACATATCTAGCTACACACATAGACACATTCGGTAGAGGTCCCTCTTACCCAATGGGATGGCAGGATAATGCTTGGTCATTGCCAATGGTAGAGCACCTATTAGTATGTTGCGTTCAGGAAACTTCTCTATTTTTACCTTTCGTATCTTGACATTCTTTCATAACAAGAGGCAATATTTTCCTGTTGAGGCATTTTGTAACTTGAACATTTCGTGAGAGGAGACATTCGTAAGTAGAGGTACCACCGTATATACAAGATGGGAGGAGCCCAATAATACATTTATAAACAAAAATATACCAGTGTAAGAGCCTGCAGACATACAGAGATGGATACTATGCAACAGCATAAAGTGTACAATGGAGAACAAGATTTTCACAAGCAGTATTAAAATGCAGAGCGTAATGGTACACACACATTTCTTTCGGTGTTTTGTTGGTGCATACTGTCAGGACTTGCCGAAAAGTAATTTCTGCATAGTCTATAAGGAAAATCATGTTCCAGTCACAACTCCAGAAGTCATGATAAAAAGCTTGATCACATAAATGTTTAAAATCACCTTTAATAACCATTTGTAGTCGTGTTTTGAGAAGTTTTGATTGTCTGACTGTAGCTTTAACCAACTGATCGCTCACATCATTCGCAAATATGCCAAAATCGGAATACTTCAATGGAACATTTGTTAAAACTAAATCAAGTAAGGGGGATTTCTTCGGTTATTTAGTAATTGGACATGTTCGGCCACTGTTTAATTGTGGAAGCTCAAAAGAATCACAAATTGATTTAAAACGGCCAGAGAAAGAAGACAGCCAGTCCAAGTTAAAATCATCCACAAGAATAATCTCTTTAAAATTCAAACTTGACAGCTGTTCACTTAAAAATGAGAAGATGTCAGTGGTTGGTTTGAGACGAATGCCTTTCTTTTATGAATTTCTTGATTGAAGGCAAGCAATTCAAACGGTTTACTTAGAGACGGTGATGATAGCACAGTGACACGAAATTTGTTTTTGGAACAGGATTAGGCTCAACATTTTCAGATAAAAGAAGCAGGAAGACAATGATACATTTTGTTTTCACAGAAATAAGAACTGGCATTAAATTATTGTTATCATTGGCCCTTGTTCTTCTTTAGGAATGGCCGCAGAGTAGAAACCAGTTCTAGGGTCCATATATGGTGACAAAAGAGGGTAAAATATGCACATTTGCATTTATGGCAGTAATGTGGATTGTGGTGTTTCTCGGGGGAGAATATAAATGATAGAATAATCAAAATCCCATTCTGTTCTACTGGAGGCACAGGAGGTAGACTTTGGTTTCCACATTTTTAATGCACCTCACAGGGTCATAGTACAGCTGGAAAAATAAGGATGAGCGAGAAAAGAATTGTGATTATCGTTAAAAGTAAAAAGAGGAGAGGCGAAAAAGTCAATATTGATCGGCAGTAAAAAGAGGAGGGGGTGTGGGGTGGGGGAGTTAATTTTGATCCAACGCAGCGCAGTGAGAATTTCGACGTGATGATAATGATTGGATGATAACATTGATGATTACGTCACAGGAAGACAGGCTTTGCAAATGACCACCAAGGGCTTTGGGTAAAAATTTTCAATCAGACCAACCACAGACTAAAACAACAAACTATAAAAACAACTGCCAAAAGATATAAGATCAACCCCTCTCCTTTACTCGATGGATTTTGAGCCCATCACAATCAAACACTGTGTTGGCCGCTGGGGTGCTCCGTCTCACTCTTAGGATGCGATCCAGTTCACTGTTCGGCTTTATGTGGATTGGTGAGATGTCCTACTGTGTGAGTGGTCTTTGAATGCACCTCGAGCCAAGCGCGAGTGAGTACCGTACATACTTTTCTTCTCCACGCAGCTATCAATCGTTGAATGCAATTACTTTTTTTTTTTTCTTTTTGGCCACGACACACTACATTTTTATCCGTGACTTGTCTGTCGGGTCAAAATCAGGCTACATTTATGGAGTCCGACCTCGGCATTAATCACTGTCGTTATCAGTTTGACAGTTCTTTTTGGACATCCTTTGCTACTACCCTGGGATTTAGATTATGAGCAAAACTTGATACTCCCACACAACTAGACTCTTAATTGCTGCGAGTGGGCTGAATTAATAGGTCAGGTGAGGAGCTGCCTTGCTGATGCAGACTCTTGTGCAAGGAACACAGTCGAGTCACAGGAAAGCCTTTAAATATGATCTTTTCAACAAGCAGGTTGGGGGTTTGGGGGATCAAAGTACACAGACAAAATAAATCCTGGAACTCAAACCCCCACAGAGGCAAAACCCATGATTTCGACCATGACTTCCTAGTACTTCTATTCAGGGTGACTGGCTCCACCTCAACCGTGACCATAATAAGGAAAAGCCATAAAGAGGATGGCTGGACGGATGGATTTCAGTTATTGGTTGAGTAACAAGTATCAAAACGAATGATTGACGTGCTCTCATACTACGGGCCAATTGACATCCCCGACTTTGAAAACTAAAAAGGAGATGACTTCAGCTGGTGGTGTGGTGAACTTGGAATGCTAAAAACAACTTCTCAGCCTGTACGAGAGCATTTTGTGGTTTGAGAGTTTGAAAAGTCTTTTTGTAACTCTACTTCAACAATGCCAGATGACACATTTCTGACAAGCTGAATATTCAACTGATTAAAAGTAAGCCACCAGACTCCGAACCGGGCTTGAAACAATACACTTACTGTAGTTATGCGTGTTTATTTAAAGCTACACTTTCAAATGCAATTACAGTATCACGCAAATAGAGTTGCTCTAGAACAGCAAACCGGTAGCCTAGTGCTGAACAAAATCTTGTGTTCATTACAGCTGCATGAACAAAATTCAAAACTTATACTGGATCCAGATAGCTACATGTAGATTCCTCACGCTCATACTTAAACCCCCAAGTTGGCAATGGAAAGCAGTTAGATCATTGACCAAGTCCATTATTGATATGATCCTCCTAAACTTTTGCAAATGTTATGGTTTGCATATTTGGCTGCCTAAAGGAACAGCGTGGATTGAGAAGGCTTCAGTCACATGCACTTGTCCAGACTTGCTTCATTCTTTCTGCCTTCTTCTCTTGCTTCCCTTTCTTCCATGTGTGTGGAAAAGGGTACACATCTGAGCCACGGGACTGGGAGATGAAAGCTTATTTGGTCAAGGCCTTTTACAAAGAGTCCAAGGACAATAAATAACTCCCTTCTTGTTTATCATACTGACATGTTGAGAGAGGTCAAAAGGGAAGAGTGGTGATTTATGATCTGTACAACGTATGTACAACGGATCCGATTAGGCAATTAAGATTCTGTAAATATCAGGACGATGAGCTAATGTTGGCGATAGATGTTTCAGAGAAAAATTGGAAGATGAAGTAACACAAAAATGATGTCAATGGTAGACTGTAAATATATTTAGCTGATTGTCCTCAAATGGTTATGTCAGTTTTTACTGGGGGAAAAAAAATAAACTTGGAAGAATGAAACCACTTCACAAATCTAAATTTGGTGACAGTAGAAAATAATTCACTTCATGATGAACAATTTGTGAGTATAATTTCCATTGATTATGATTCAGCCGATTGGTATGTGTATCCCATTTGGCCAGCTGTAGACCCTGGGAACTGGATTTAAGCGCTGTTTTCTCAGCTTCCCTAGCATTTTTTTTCCTCCCTGGTGAGCGTATCGGCTCACCAAAAGCTGAGAGCCAAAAGCCCAAATGCTCTTTCATTCCTTATTAAACACGTATATTGCTGCCAATGCCACACGATGGATGAGAGGTTATCACTTCGGCCCCATGGCTTGAATTTGTCACGTTTAGCTTTTCTGCACTTTGCATGTGCACCAGTGCTTGTGTGCATCATCCCACAGTTCAGAAAATGTTCACAGTGAACCCTGTTTATCGCAAGGGATACGTTTCAGACCCATCCACGAATAGGTATAAATACTACTTAGTTGTATTACAATATAATATGAATGGTACTGATATAACTTTCAATCGTCACAATCTCGCTCGTACAGTTCTCCAAATAAGAGGAAAACCATGCTGGCTTCAAGAGGTTTATTTCAGCGGTCCCCAACCTTTTTTGCCCCACCGACCGGTTTAATGTCAGACATTATTTTCAGGGACCGGCCTTTAAGGTGTGGCGGATAAATACAACAAAATAATATGAAATGACCTGCATGAAAACTGGGGTATTTTCGTAACATAATAATAAACACGAATCATGACATGAGGAACGTCCTATCTGACCGCAACACTCTCTGGTCGCTATGGTAACGTTGAAACGTGCCTTCAAAATAAGATACACCACAAATACAAAGTGCATGATAAATACGACTCATCATCGCCGCATATTATGCAGAGTGGGCTTGGTGCGTGGGAATCTCCCGTTGTATTTTAAGTAGGACACCTGACACTGTCTATTAAATGTAGCCTTCTTAGTCTTGAAAGTCGTAGACTCCTCCTCTGTCTCCTGGCTGGGCCTTTTCCCCTTCCCAAAAACTTTTGTTTATTACTCGTTTTGCTAGCTTCTGGGTTTCATTTTAGCGGTAACCTATCATGTGACCAAGAAGCGCGTCTTGACCTGTGTCAAGAGTAACATACTGTAGACGTATGTAACACAGAATCCGGTATTTTTCCAAAATAAAACATCTTTCAGATTCCGAAATGAATAAAACAGAAGTAATGTAAGTTCCTTATCCTTTCTGTTCAGCCTGGTACCAAATGACCCACGGACCGGTACCTCCATTCCAAAGCCAAACATGTTTATGGTTGCGCTTATCGTGTTTGTTTCTCTCCTCAGTGGTGTGTCATCTGCCTTGTATTAATGGCGGCAAGTGCAGTGCCAGGGACAAATGTCAATGCCCTCCAAACTTCACTGGAAAGTTCTGCCAGATTCCAGTTCAGAACGGACACCATCAGCCCCAGCAGACATCAGGCAGCTACAGTCAAACTCAAGTCCATTCCACACACACATTGCCCCTGACCTACAGCAATGGGCAAAGTACTGGTGAGTGGAGTCGAGAGTGAATGCTAATCCTTGCTTTGTCTCCATTTTCATGTGATCAGCCCATCAGAAGTATCAAGTCTCTCTCTCTCTCTCTCTCTCTCTCTCTCTCTCTCTCTCTCTCACACACACACACACACACACACACACACACACACACACACACACACACACACAATTGTATCATATTAACTCTGGTCTGTAATTTTCTCTGACCAGTATTCAGCCCCAACATTGTCAACATCCACATCAAACATCCTCCCGAGGCATCTGTTGAGGTCCACCAGGTATCTCAGCTGGATGACCAACACAGTAATGGACAAAGTCAAAGAGGTCCACAGTCAGGATCCTCTTCATCCTCCAGCTACAGTTTTCATCACACTGAAAGCCGTCAGCAGGTCCAGCATCATGGCTACAACATTGTCTATCCGACCCAGCATGGGGACCAGATTACTCAGTACCAACCTGTCTCCTCAAAGAACATGTTGGGCCGCTGCTTCCAAGAAACTGTTAGTAGCCAGGTAAGCTCTCATTAAATCAAATGTGCAATATGACTCAAATTAGATTTCGTTGTAATCCCCAAAAAGGAAATTTTTAGGACTAGTTTTTCTGATGGAAATTATTACCTTAGCTTTTCAAAAGAACCAGTTTATATCATCTATTTATTTGAGGTACTTAAAGGAGAATTTGAGTCAAACATTTTCTTTACCATTAGGTTCTATGTAGCCCCACTTGTCGAAAGATGGTAGTCTGATAAATATTGTGTTTGTGGAATATGAATTAAGCAGAAAATGTACCCGGCTGCCATTGTGCCACATGCTGTCGATTGAAAGTGACATCACAAGGGCTCATGTAACGACTGTCACCTGTTTTCGGGGTTTGATTATATGACGTTCACAAGCCGAGCCCTTAGGCACTGTAATGGCATTTTCAGTTGACAGCTAGTGGCAACCCCCCACCTCCTACAAAGATGTATAAAAACAGTTGGATTTTGTTGCTTAATTCATATGAAATGAACACAAAACTAATCACAATACTGTGTTTAGACTTGTGGGGGCGCATAGAACATCCATCCATCCATCCATCCATCTTACGGCAGTAGGCGGGGACACCCTGAACCGGTTGCCAGCCAATCGCAGGGCACACACAGACGAACAACCATCCGCGCTCACACTCACACCTACACACACCTACCTCACACCACACTCACATTTTCTCGACAATTTAAAGATAGTTCCCCGCACTCTTGCTGAAATGAGCGAGTGAGCCAGCCGTCATCCCGCTTCACACTCTGCTGGGCTCATGGCCAGTGGATGGATGCATTTTGCTCCTTTCACCGCTACAGAGCTTGGGAAGGCTCACTAGCATGAGTCAAACTGTGTAGCACACACAGACAAGCAATGTAGAGAACCCACTATTACATTATGTACAAACAACAACAAGAAAACATTTTCCAAAATACGTCCCCTTGAAGACAATGAAAAAGTAGCTCACGTCCTGCTAATGCATTTGTCCTCACCTTATTAATGGCATGGCTAATATTGACTATTGATCTGTATGTATTTATTTAATGGTATGAACTGCCAACTTGGTATGTTTCAGTGTGGGAAAGCTCTCCCGGGTCTCACTAAACAGGAGCAGTGCTGCGGGACCATTGGGACATCATGGGGTTTCCACAAATGCCAGAAATGTCCAAAGAAACCATGTAAGTGTATTGTACCGTATGTTGTCTTTACAAAGAGTATGACAAGACATTAAAAAAAAAAATCATCCAGTCTATAATGTATAATGTGTCCCATTCAGGTCCTTCAAACAAACCCCTAGATCAGGGGTGTCAAACTCAGGTCCTGGAGGGCCGCTGTCCTGCATGTTTTCCAAGTCTCCCTGTTGCAACACACCTGATTCAAATGACTGGAGGGCCGTTATCCTGCATGTTTTCCATCTGTCCCTTCTCCAACACACCTGATTCAAATGATCAGATCATCAGCAAGCTCTGTCGAGGCCTGAACAATTGAATCAGGTGTGTTGCAACAGGGACAGATGGAAAACATGCAGGATAGCGGCCCTCCAGGACTGGGATTGCCCACCCCTGCCCTAGATCATCGTTAAAAGCATAACTTTACTCACACTCTGAATAGTATATTTTATTGTTAAAACTAATATCAAAACTCAGTTCCTTAATAATCATTCATAATAATGCCCTGAAATGCACTTTGTACATCTTATTATATGTATTGATTTAAAAAAAAAAAGAGACGTGTTTGAAAGTCTTATGAAAAATGGTTTGACTTCTGTATAAAGCAGGGGCCTTCAATCGTGTTCCTCGAGACCCGCCGTCCTGCCTGTTTGCTATTTCTCCCTGCTGCAACACACTTAATTCAGATGATCACGAATTGTTATCCAGCTTCCGCAGACCTTGCTGATTATCGGTTTGAAGACCCCTTGCCTGAAATGTGTTGAAAATAATGACCCATGGCAGTGTGTAGGTCCCAGGGTGACCCGGATCGAAGCAGTTCTGTTCTTCTACTATCCCAAATGTCAAAACCACACCTCAATTAATTCATGCTTGTACAAGTATTTGAAAGAAATATTTTTTGGAATAAATTTTGCAATTTGTTTAGCAGTGTGATATTTTTATGGGTTCTTTGGGAATTGCAATTTCTTCAAGGAATGCATAATATCGCCTTCATGCTGTAAAGGCATGACTGCAGTGACAACAACCCAGTACACTACGTCCTCATATCGGGTCGGGTCACCCATATGCACAGCTTCTTCAATTTAGGAACAAATCAGACTGACTAATGGCTATTCATCCTACTTTCGGCATATATGTACCTGTACCTGAACTGGTGTTTTTGGTTTGTGTGTGGGTGTGTGTGTGGGGGGGGGGGGGAGAGTGGCGCAATGGTTGACTGGTTAGCATGTCTGCCTCATCACAGTGCAGGGGGCGTGGGTTTGAAGCCAGGCTAGATAGATAGATAGATAGATAGATGGATGGATGGATGGATGGATGGATGGATGGATGGATGGATGGATGGATAGATAGATAGATAGATAGATAGATAGATAGATAGATAGATAGATAGATAGATAGATAGATAGATAGATAGATAGATAGGTGTGCGTGTGTGTGTTGTTTAGCCAAATAATTAATTGACCCAACAATGGTGAGTGGAGATGATTTATGTATTTTATGTATGATTCATCAAATTTTGAAATAAAATGACTCACATTTCCCCAATTTTTATTCTCTCCCTTCACTCACCAGCTATTCCTCTGATAGACTGCCCACAGGGTTACAAGAAAATCAACAGCACTCATTGCCAAGGTAAGGGCTTGCAATATCATATCTGTATTTATTCATTGATATGATGTAATGATTGTCCTCGGATACTTAACTATTGAATGGCTTAATTAAGACAAAATGTGTGAAGTGTAAAAAAATTAAAAAACAGGAATTATATTTTCAACCATACTCAAGGCAAATAGTTTTTCTCCAGAGACTCAACAGAGGGTGCTACCGTCTCATTTGGCTCATTGCCATTTTATCCATGCTTACAGTATGTGGCTTGTGCAGAGAGACTACCTCTGGATTACTAGATCGATGTGCCGTTAGCCTTTGAACTTTGCATATTTTTTTAAATCGATCTAATAGTTTTGAATATATTGTAATATACGAATGGGTGTTCAGAGAATAGGGTCTAAATATTAAGGGAAAATAGTATACAATAAGTATAAATACGATAAAATAATAAGCCGCACTGAATGAAGCAAAGACTGCAGGATGTCTTTGTGGACATGTTTATTGATCATCTGGCACATACTAAAGGGGAAAACTCATGGTTTATAGTTTGGAAACGGCTGCTCGTGGGTTCTAAATACTATTCTAATACTATGCTATACCAATAAATACAATGAAAAATTTGATAAATTGGCAACACTGGAACTGCACTCGCTTTAGCCACCTCGGCTTGAGCGCACGTGCTTGATTTTTGTAGACTGCGCTTCAAATGCAGTGAATCCTGATTTTCCTACGAGGGCAAGGCTCGCTGCATGTATTTGCCAATTTAGCAAACCAGTCTCTGCCAAGCTTTTGGGCATTCCGGTGCAACATGGGGAGTTCACTTGGAGATGGCAGAATGATGGCAGAAAGTTCATCGAAATTGGCTCTTACTCAGACCATGTCTAATTACCGTTGCAAGGTTTGCAGCTGGTCTAAAACAATTTTGTTGAATTTGATCGGGGCATAGGCAGGCAGATACTGAGCTCTGTGGAAAAACATACTGATAGTCACCAGTAGTTAATACCAGCTCATTATTTTTCCCCCTCTCATATTGTCTGCTGCCACACTATGTCTAGAGCAGTGACAATGCTCTACTCATGCACGGATTACTGCCGTTACACGTCATTCTCTTCCACACAGAAATGTGTGTGTCCTGACTGTGGGAATGAATCGGAACCCTCTGCCGAAGGAGTGCAATTACTGTGAGAGTTCATAAAGCACAAGCAGTTCTGAAATATAAGAAGGACCAAGACCATTAAGACATTTAAACTATTGAAAGAACCATAAAATTGATCCTGAAACAAGCAGGGAGCTAATGCATTGATTCTAAAACTGGTGTAATATTGGTCATCCTCCTGGTCTTCGCCAGGAAAATGCTCTGCAAATTTTTTTTTTTTTTTGTCACAGATGTAGATTCGTTTCACTATTTGTTGCAGCATCTACTCAACTTGGGGATCAAACCCATACTGCCACTACAACCCCGATTTGTGATCGTAGAGTGGTGACTAGTGAGCTAAAATTTCAGCCCGCCGCTTGAGCTCAGTACCATATTTGAAGGGATAGACAGTGAGGTTGTCTTCTTCTCCTTTCGGCACGTCCCTATTCAGGGGTCGCCACAGCGAGTCAGTAATTTCCATCCGCCCCTGTAAACCGTCCTACCAACTCGCATGGTCGTCTTGGCAAAAGTTTTACGCCGGATGCCATTCCTGACGCAACCCTCCCCATTTCTCCGGGCTTGGGACCGGCACTGGGGAACAGTGCACCCCCAGGGGAGGGCACTGCCCCCCAGCGGCTGGGTTATAGACAGTGAGGTTGTGACCTACCTTTTTCTATCACAAAGTAAAAAAGAAAAGCTGGTGTACATGAGACTGATAGTGTGCTCCCACACTGTAAAGTTATAGAATAATAAAAATACGCACTCGGAACATGAATAACTCGTATCGTGCAGACTGAGATTTCTCAAGGACATTCGGTGCATTAATAAAACCATTGGGCTGCATAAAAACAAGATTTTCTAAAAAGAATTCATTAATCAAGAATGGTAGTCTTTTGGTGATTAGGGTTTTTGGGGTCAATCAGCAATCAGAAGGTTTGAAAAAAAAACAATACTGGATCACCGTTTCGATCAGAAGCAATGTACACATTTAAACAACTTTTACATTTACTCAATAGTAAACCCCCACCAAAGCCAAAATGCATTCGGATAAAAAACTTACCCTGAGTGATGAAAGCTGTTTTGAATTGAAGGGATGTTAAAATTAAATAAATGGCACACACACGTTTTTTTTTTTTTAACATAAATAAAATGTATTTTTGGAAGTTTTCCCACTCAAAAAGAAAACCTACAGGCATGCTCTTTGTGATTGGATGGTGGAGGGCACAGATTTCGAGAACTTCCATCTCCCAATGCAAAGTCTTTCCGCTTCAAAATTCTGAAAATAGATTAGCTTTCGAGCTTTCACATACACTATGGCAGGTGAGATCGACACCGGTGAAACGAGGTTGTGTTTGCTGTAATGTCTAACTTCGCGGATCCGACCATGGCGATCAATTATGACATTGCGGTTAATTCATGATAAAATGTAAAATGTTAACCGCTTTTGATACAGTTGATATGATTGATGTAAAGTCTAATTATAAGTTCACTACCAGTCTTAAATTGCTGAGATCAAATTTAAATTGCTCTTCTTCTTGTGGGGCGGCATGGCTCAGAGATACAATGGTCGTCTCCCTTCCCGTCTCCTACCGTACTGAACCCCCAGTTGCTCCTGATGCTGCGTCATCAGTGGGTGAACGTGGACTGATTTTTTTTTTTTTTGTGTTCTATTATCTTATTTATTGACAGATTTTGATGAGTGCCAGCTGCAGGGAGTGTGTCCAAATGGAAATTGTTTGAACACTGTGGGCAGCTATAGATGCACGTGTAAACCTGGCTACATCCCTGACCCCATGCTCACCACATGCATATGTAAGTGTGGCCGTTTCCTTATTGTACTAGAAACTACAGGTCAATAATATTATGTATCAATCAATCAACAAATAAATAAGTAAATAAATACATACATACATAAAGCAATGACAAATAAAAACATTGGTTCTACGGTAATAAAAAAATATTTTGCCTTGCAGTAAAATAAATGCATATTTTGTTTTACTCTACCAACTCTTAACATCATTGCTGTCCCATGATATCTTGTTTTTTTTTTTTGTTTGTTTGTTTGTTTGATTTTTTTGGGACCAAAACAGACTTTCAGGCTTAAAAACAAAAATTGTTCCAATTGGTGACATATATGCTTTCATTGATCAGCAACATTAAGCGAATGCACATTTTTGATAAAACCATTTATTTCATTCAGTTTCAATTTATTTACATGAATGACACAAATTATGATCATTACGATCCCTCAAGGGAAATTATTTTATGAGTGATGTTCAGTTTGATGACTCTTAGAACAATTCAATCCCGGATTTGATCAATAATATGGTAGTTGCAACAGACATGGATGCATCATCCACTTAAGATATATCTACTTTTAATTAAACAAAAATGCTACTGTATGGTGCATTATATGGAATTTAACATTGAAGATGAATGACAGAGGGTCATTATGGGCCCTCTGTTCATGCCCAACGCAAGTCTAGCGCAAAGCTTAGTCTAATCGTGTGAATGGTTGGTCTTTCATTTGGTATTTTAGTAGATGGTGCAGGTAGAAAATGGCGTCACCATTGTGGGAGTGAACACAGCAGACTTGTTTCCTGGCCAATGGAAACCGCTCCCTTCATACAGTAGCGCCTCACACATCAACGTCGTTTTATTTTTTTTTGATGCTTTGTTGTTTTTTTTTTTTTCACGAAGCTGCCTTGTCTTCTGCTGGCTGTCTGCCTGTGTTTGACATGTTTTATTCACTAAAATAACGAATGAAGACGATTCCTGTTGATGCAGTTATTGATAAAGTATAGAGTTTTTAGTAGCTATGTTTTATCGTACCTCAATTGCAGTATGTGGTGTGTGTGTGTGTGTGTGTGTGTGTGTGTGTGTGTGTGTGTGTGTGTGTGTGTGTGTGTGTCACACACTAAGTGTGTGTGTGCGCGCGTGGGAGAAAACCTACAGCATGTACTCGAAAAGCTGCATATTTAACAGTTTGGCTACATACAGTATGACCATTAAACTGATAGCATATATGCAGCTAAAGACAAGAAAACCACAATTGAAATCGATATATCTTACTGCAAAATGCTTTTTCAAGTTAGATGTTGAGCTTTTGTAGGTTAAAATTCTTCATGTAAATGAGTGACTTTGTGGTGATGTGGCTGGCTGGCTCTGTTTGATTTTGCAAAATGGAGTCAAACATCACTAGTGACAACACGATGTGTATGAATCTATTGCATGTTTTTTGTTTTTTTCTTATCGAATAATCTCATCCCCCTCTCAAGCATGCGCTGCAAGGCAAACTGTACATGCCTTTGACTTCATGGCTTTTACACCAAATCAGTTTTCAGTGGTCTATGGTGCATCATTTGACCATACATGTGTAGCGATCATGGGCCATTGCTTTTGTCACGCATGTTACGTACATTGTGCAGCATATCCCGGTTGCACTTGGGCACGAGGCAGTGTCACCAAAGCATGACAGCTGAAAGCGAACAACAAATCAAAGCTTGTAAGCTACTGAAATATCAGCATCCGAACACAATGTTTTAGGATAGACCACTGCAGGAACATTTTTCTCCGCATCTGTTGCACAGGCACTTTCTACTATTGAGACATCATTGTTGTCTTGGTCTCTCAGTTACAACAATTTATGAGTTCAAAACATAGACAGCTGGGCACCTAATCATCTATTTGTTGAATAGAAGTCCCACAGAAACACATTGTCGGGAGAAGAAATGGACTGAAGGTGCTACATTAATATTCTCCATGAATTGCTTGCTTTGGGCTAGCTGGTGCACGGTGCTTTTCGTCCATTTGCCTTTTGTTACGGTTTCTATAATCTGAGATAACATTGGTTCAATAATATTTTAAATTCGTCCAATTGTAGCACAGGGTTGGGCAACACCAACAGTCTGGCAACTTGGCAAAAAGCACTCATTCATTATTTTAATTGTGCGCGAATACTATTGTGAGCAATGTGTTCTCCGTTTGTTCCAAACTCAGCTCCAAACATTTGAAGTGGTCAATCAAATGTCCTTCATTGGGCTCCCACTGATTTGCCTTGTCATACAATGGGTTTGTGTGATGATACTTAAACTATTTCAACCAGACGGTTATTGAAAATGCTCAATGATTTCCTGTGTTCAACTCTATTGGTGTACCTGTAAATCTATCCCCTTCACATTACTCTCATCCTACTGGTTTTAAATGCTTTAGAGAAATGTTAACATTGTGTAATTTGTATTTTTTTTTTTGTCATTCAACACATTGCTCACTTTTCTTACAAACGTTTATGACACAGCAAAAGGAAGAAACATCATTTTATCAAATCTGTATTGCTTATAATGCAATGCGCCCTATATTTGAAAACAGTTTGATAATAGGCCATTCATTGAAGGTGCGCCTGATAATCCAAAGTGCCCAATAGTGCAGAAAATTCTCACCCACACACACACACACACACACACACACGCACACACACGCACACACACGTCAGTTGAGGTGTCACATTCTTTGGTTATCCTCTGCTAAATACTTGTTGAAACATACCATAAGCATGCTGCTCTAACATGGATTCTAAAAGGTCTACGCGTATTATTAGTTTTGCTCATGAAGTCACAAACATATTTCATCTTTCTCTGACAGTCACTTGATGTCATTTGGCAAACTTCTCACTGGCTGTCGTCTGGAAAGCATTCAGTCTCGCTTCCTGGATAATTGGATGATATCCCATAGTCCCATATTGTCAGATCAAACCGACAACATAAGATCTTGCGCAGGGTTGAATAGCCGTTCAAGTGGAGTCATTAATATTTTTGCATTTGAGTGTTCAATTCCATGATAGCATTTGTAGTATACTGGAAGGAATTTCAGCAATTCTTCTTGCTGTACATCTTAGTTTGGGGATGACTTGATTACAATTAGAATTACAGGCAACTGTTTATCAAACAACACAGAATTGATCCATGGATTTCGTCAAAGAAATCGTTTTTCTGTCATATATTTGATGGATGGGCTGAGTGACAGCTGTGATTAGTAAATACCATGAAGGAAAACAGTCAACACACACACATATATTTTTTTTTACATAACATTCATCATTTTGATATAGCGAAGCCATCAAAAGTGAAGAAAGGGGTGGTGGGGTGGCGTATAGTCTACGGGCCAAGGAAAAACTCATGTTGGTGAGTATCTGGATAAAGGTACAATGACTTGATTTGTCTTGTTAACAGTTCAGACTTGGCGTTTTACAGTGTTTCACTTAACCGTGAGTGCTTTTCCCTTGTGGATGGACAAAGCCTCTATTTATCCATAATGTAACTTTCTAATACCGGGTTAAAAGCCTTTTTTGTTCCCCTTTGAGAAAAAAATATTGTCTCTGTTCCCGTTAGAACAATTCCAGCTGTCATTGGTATGTCAGATGTTTAATTGCAGCGTTTAACTTGGAAAGCACAAACTAAACCCCTCTGCATGCCTTCATTTCAACCAGTGCTTGGCTGTAATGCATGTTAATGTTTAGTCATGTCTTTCCTACGGTGTTCAGTCTGCACTCCGTTGTGTTTGAACGTGTTTCTGTGTTTAGCCCTCAGTGTTGTCACCAGATGTGGGGGAATGACGAAGCACCGCGAAATACTTGCTCCTCTTGTTGCAGTTTGGTGTTTTTTTCGACAATGTTGATATCATGTTTGTTCCATAGCGTGTATTTGTTTCATGTGAGGCAAGGTTGCTTTGGTGAAGGGGACTTCTTCATTTCTTCACTTTGTCATTTCTTCCCTCCTTGTGTGTCCCCTGCACTCTGGCGCACCACTTCCATCGCGTCTGCTCTGCTCCTCTTTGTCCTCCTCCTGCACACGTCCTCAGCCAACATACCTGCCATCCAAGAGGAGAAGGGGGCTTGCTTCCGTTTGATGAGCTCAGGGAGGCAGTGTTTGCACCCAGTGTCTGCTCAGCTGAGCAAACAGCTCTGCTGCTGCAGTGTGGGCAAAGCCTGGGGACCACATTGTGACAAATGCCCCCCTCCAGGAACAGGTAAGGCCTCCAGTTTGGTTCGACCTTCGTCATGACCCCAAATTATCTTTTCTCACTTGTCTGAAAGTCATTTAGACCACCACCCAAGATATGGTTAATGCCAAAAATTGCCTTTTTGTTTTTTCAATTTCTTGAATCCAAATTCTCTATTCGGGTTTCATGAGTATCTGCCCACTCATCAAGTGTGAAATGACGCATCGAGCCAATCTTTTGGGAGCTGCCTGCTTTCCCAAATGCGTTTGTAAGTAAGATGACACAGATTGTGACGTGAGCGGTCCTAATTTACTTAATTTACATAAAACAAAACAGGCACCCGCTCGCTGAGCTGTTTGTTATTATGGATAGAAAATCTATGGTTGGCATTGGCCCCACAGTAAAGGTGAGCTATGACTGAACCGACACTTCAAAATGGGCTAATTTCAGTGAACAGAGGGTTTAAAGTGGACCCTAATTCTTGATCTTTGGGGTATTTTTCCAAAAATAGCTCACAGTTTTCTTATTAAGACTCCATTAATTGGTGAATAGATGTTTGTTCATGTTTATTCAATGGTTAATGCACCAGCATTTAGAAGCTCTGTTACAGTTTAAGTAAAATTAATTACTGTTATTCATAACTTTTCAAATGTATTATCTTTCTGAAGAAAAAAAAAATCATATTTTTGGGATGATTGAGGACTTCAAGATGAGAGTTATTGTCTTGCATTCCCAACAGAGTTGTTGAATGTTATGGCACTTTGGGCATTGAAGGGTGAGTTCAGTTTGAAATTCCACACTTCTTTCCAAGATTAGAAAAAAATGTTGTGAACTCACTGAAATTCCATAGAGTCCATATTAGTTATTTGAATTCTTCATTGAAGGATGAATTAACCGTCTTGACAGAAGCCTTTATGCTCTTTGTGGGAGCTTACCGGTAGTTCCTTTTACCGAGCAGGTACAGTAACCCGAACCTGAAACTGAAATCAAGAAACACCTTCCAATAAATAATTGTCCCAAACATCCCCACACCTCCTTTCCGTGTCTAGTCTCAACATCAACTGTGTATTATACCCTTTTGGGAAGCTGCATGCTTTTTTTTCCTACGTTTCACAACTTGGCTTAGTAGTTGCTTTTTTTGTGTACCAAACGCTTTCGCTGTACAGTAGTTGTATACTTTTGCCACTGACCCTTTCTCTCAATTTTTTTTTCTCTCACATTTCCACAAACAGTTGTCTGATTCGAACATACTGAATTGCACTTTGTATATAATGAGTTATTGTGTGGGGACGGGGGTGGGGGTGCCTTAAAATGGTGAAGAAATAGATTTTGTCCATTTCATATAAAATTGGAACAAGTGTGCATAGATTGTAATTGAATGGAGAAACACTTTGAGATGTTCACTTTGAATCATTGTGGAAAATCACTGAACAGCAGCAAGCCTCAACACCAAGCTCATTTACAGAAACAGTCTCAACTGTAACAGACAGTATATAAAAGGTTAAATGTCTTTTTTTTTCTTATCATATTGCCATATGTAAGCACAACGGGAACTTCACTTCTGAAAATGATTCTGTGCATATCATATTGATGCCTTCGTGTGCAGATATTTAAATCGGGTTTCTAAATATTTGTGTTCTTTTCCTTCATAGCTATGTTCAAAGAAATTTGCCCCGGTGGAATGGGCTACACGGTTCTCCCAAATCCACCCATCAATAAACCAGTTACGGTCCACCAGACACCTATTGATCCACTTATCCCTCACCCCTTGCCAACACCAGAAAAACCAGCTGTGGCTTTCGGGAAGCCAGAAGAGATTATACCAGGTGAGTCTGTGATTTGGTTAGTTTCGTTGAATATGCATTGAAAAAATGAGACATACTGAGTGAATGTTCTTCATCAGAGTGATACTTAAAATTTGACACTGAAAGAAATACTCCTTGCGGTTGGAGACTCAGGATGTCATTTGTCAGTGTTAGGTACAGTATGAACACAATTCATTAGCTAAGAAGAAAAAAAAGTTTTCTCAGGAGGAAAGAGTGATGCATTATTTCTTGGGATGATTAGATTTCGGGGAAACAATTCCAGTTAATGACTGCAGCTAATATGGATAACAGACAATTATTCCTGTTTCCTCTCATAAGCCCCTTTGCCAGGCCATGACTGCTGACTGCTGAACTTGCTGTTTGTTTGTGGGACTTTCTGCCTTCTAATTTGTCTAAAATAAGTGAAAAGTATGCACATTTGGATAACTGGATTGGTTTTGGAAACAATTAAATGTCATTGTCTGGAAATTTTGGGCTCCTCTGGCTGTCTCTTTTGGGTCTTTATCAATCTGAGATGTTCATGGTTTTGTATTGTTGTATTGAGCCAGGGTGAGCTATTTAGCTGCATGTGATCAACCCTCTACATTCAACAGACATGGCGATGTCTCTTGGACTTGATTTACAATACAGATCTGAATGCCCAATTCTTGGTTCAGGTTCTCCCTAAACTGTATATATTGTACATGTCTATGATAGAGCTGCATTTAAGTGACCCAGATATGTCACCTATGTGCAGATATGTGACCGAAAGAACGAGATCCCGGATACAAGTGTCCGAAATTAGTTTCCTCCGTAGGGTATCCAGGCATTCCCTGAGAGATAAGGTGAGAAGCCCGGTCATCCGTGAGGGGCTCAAAGTCAAGCCGTTTAGAGAAGCCAGATGAGGTGGCTCGGGCATCTGGTTAGGATGTCTCCTGGACGCCTCCCTGGTGAGGTGTTCCGGGCATGTCCCACCGGCAGGAGGGTCCGGGGACGACCCAGGACACATTGGAGAGACGATGTCTCCCAGCTGGCCTGGGAACGTCCCGGGATACCACGGGAAGAGCTGGAACAAGTGGCCGGGGAGAGGGAAGTCTGGGCTTCACTGCTAAAGCTGCTGCCCCCGTGACCCGACCCCGAATAAGCGGTAGAGAATGGATGGATGGATAGATATGCAGTTTAACACCTCCAGAGCACAATGGGACAGAAATGAAACTGACAACATTGGCTAGCAACAACATAAATCACTTATTTTTCAATACTCTGTTGGACCATCCTAGATTTCTAGGAACATATTAAGCGCATCAAAGGTAGCCACCAAATTTGCTGTTTTTGAGAATCCAGATTGCTAAAATCTGTCTTCTTTCAATTATACCCTTAAATCTGGTCCTTATCAGGTCCCAAAATTTGAACTACAACCTCAGATGAACAATAAGGCATGACGTATTTTACTGTGCTGTTCAAAGGGCAGAATTATTTTGGCTCATTCACCTTGACAACAGCGTATAGCCAATTAAGGCATTCTTTCATCTGTAGCTCTCCTGGTTATTGTCGATGGATTTTTGCTCCATGTGCAGGACTTTGTATGCGGCAATGGTTTAAAGTGCTAAATAAATAAAGTTGAGTTGCTTTGTCTAGTCAAATCCAATCAAAGCAATCGTGTTTGACAGACTGGAATCCCCTCTTAACCAATTTCGATTTTCCGCAAGGGAGACAGCTCTTAGCTTAAATGGAAGCGCATTCCACAATTTGAGGGCAACGGATTGCAAAGACAAAATTCAAGACTTCAGTTTTCGCCCCGTCCAGCCATAAATTGCAGTCAACAATAATGCAATCGGTTATCAAAATTAACAGAAAAATAAATCTGAAGGTGGATGGTATGCTCCCATCTCTTGGAGGATGCATTCAAAATGGACCTTTGACGAAAACCAGAGAAAAGGAAAAATTGGCAAACTGTAATGAAGACATTTTTCATTTGTGGTCGTAGGCAGGATATTGAATGGACTTGAAGTGATCTTCATCACAATTTTAGAAGGAAAGTGGGAGCGAAATTAGCAATAAGAGGTATGTTCATAGAAGATCTAGTCGGAGGCTTTAGGGGAGGAATCCTGTCAAGAATTACAGAGGGGTGGGACTTTAACTGAAACTTGACTATTAGCATTACTTCTTAAAAGCTGCATTAATGGTAAAAGCAGTGGGAAGTACAGAGAGCTTATGTAGTAGCACATGTGAAAGTTTTGTATGTTTACTGTTTGAACAATCTGAAGTAACAAACATAATGAAACATTTACGGTTATGATCTGCGGCCATGCAGCTCTTCAGAAACAATGGTTAATACCCGGACCAGGTATAAAAGCAAGGTCTAGGATGTAACATTGAACATGTGCTGGGCCATGAAATTAACCGATTCAATGTAATTGTTAGCATTTTTGACAAAGTAGTTCATGCTGTCATTTGCAGGCACAGTAAAATCAAGTATAAAATTCTTTAAAATGGTCGTGATGGAGGCTAACAGCAATAGCTTGAACGGGGAAGCCCAGACTTCCCTCTCCCCAGCCATTTTTTCCAGCTGTTCATGAGGGATCCCAAGGCGTTCCCAGGTCAGCTGGGATGCATAGTCTCTCCAGCATGTCCTCACTGCCCCTCCTGAATCTCAGACTCAACTTCCTGACTGACTCTCCAGCACCCCTGAATAGACCTTACCAGGGAGGCTGAGGAATGTAGTCGGAACACACCCTGCGGTCCCCCTTCTTCAAAAGATGGACCCCCGTTCTGCCAATCCAAAGGCACTCTCCCCGATGACCACACAATATTGCAGAGGCGTGTCACCCAGGACAGCCACTCAACATCCAGAGCCTTAAAGAACTCCAGGCGGATCTCATCCAACCCTGGGGCTTCGCCACCAAGGAGCTTTTTAACCACCTCGGTGACTTCAACCCCAGAGATAGGAGAGCCCACCTCAGAGTCCTCAGATCCTGCTTCCTCTAAGGAAGTCATGTTGTTGGAGTTGGGGAGGTCTATGAAGTATTCTTTCCCATTCTTGCTTGATGTACAGCTTCAACTGTTCACCAGTCCGGGATCTCCGTTCTCGTCTTTTACGCTTCATAATGCACCACACATTTTCAATAGGAGACAGGTCTTGACTGCAGACAGGCCAGTCTAGTACCCTGCACGCTCTTGCTAGCTGTTATAATAAGTGCAGAATGTGGTTTGTCATTGTCTCATTGAAATAAGTAGGAGCGTCCATGAAAAAGACATTGTGAGGATTGCAGCATATGTTTCTCCAAAACCTGTATGTACATTTCAACATTATTGGTCCCTCCACAGATGAGTTACCCATGACATTAGCACTAACACAGCCCCATACAATCACAGATGCTGGCTTTTGAACTTTGCGTCCCTACAGTCCGGATTGTTCTTTTCCTCTTTGGCCCAGAGGAAACGGCATCCACAATTTCCCAAAACAATTTGAAATGTGGACTCATCAGACCACAGAACACTTTTCCACTTTACATCAGTCCATCTCAGATGAGCTCGGGCCCAGAGAAGATGGCGGCGTTTCTGAGTGTTGTTGATAAATGGCTTTTGCTTTGCAGTGTGTGTGTGTGTGTGTGTGTGTGTGTGTGTGTGTGTGTGTGTGTGTGGATGGATTTTTGCTCCATGTGCAGGACTTTGTATGCGGCAATGGTTTAAAGTGCTAAATAAATAAAGTTGAGTTGCTTTGTCTAGTCAAATCCAATCAAAGCAATCGTGTTTGACAGACTGGAATCCCCTCTTAACCAATTTCGATTTTCCGCAAGGGAGACAGCTCTTAGCTTAAATGGAAGCGCATTCCACAATTTGAGGGCAACGGATTGCAAAGACAAAATTCAAGACTTCAGTTTTCGCCCCGTCCAGCCATAAATTGCAGTCAACAATAATGCAATCGGTTATCAAAATTAACAGAAAAATAAATCTGAAGGTGGATGGTATGCTCCCATCTCTTGGAGGATGCATTCAAAATGGACCTTTGACGAAAACCAGAGAAAAGGAAAAATTGGCAAACTGTAATGAAGACATTTTTCATTTGTGGTCGTAGGCAGGATATTGAATGGACTTGAAGTGATCTTCATCACAATTTTAGAAGGAAAGTGGGAGCGAAATTAGCAATAAGAGGTATGTTCATAGAAGATCTAGTCGGAGGCTTTAGGGGAGGAATCCTGTCAAGAATTACAGAGGGGTGGGACTTTAACTGAAACTTGACTATTAGCATTACTTCTTAAAAGCTGCATTAATGGTAAAAGCAGTGGGAAGTACAGAGAGCTTATGTAGTAGCACATGTGAAAGTTTTGTATGTTTACTGTTTGAACAATCTGAAGTAACAAACATAATGAAACATTTACGGTTATGATCTGCGGCCATGCAGCTCTTCAGAAACAATGGTTAATACCCGGACCAGGTATAAAAGCAAGGTCTAGGATGTAACATTGAACATGTGCTGGGCCATGAAATTAACCGATTCAATGTAATTGTTAGCATTTTTGACAAAGTAGTTCATGCTGTCATTTGCAGGCACAGTAAAATCAAGTATAAAATTCTTTAAAATGGTCGTGATGGAGGCTAACAGCAATAGCTTGAACGGGGAAGCCCAGACTTCCCTCTCCCCAGCCATTTTTTCCAGCTGTTCATGAGGGATCCCAAGGCGTTCCCAGGTCAGCTGGGATGCATAGTCTCTCCAGCATGTCCTCACTGCCCCTCCTGAATCTCAGACTCAACTTCCTGACTGACTCTCCAGCACCCCTGAATAGACCTTACCAGGGAGGCTGAGGAATGTAGTCGGAACACACCCTGCGGTCCCCCTTCTTCAAAAGATGGACCCCCGTTCTGCCAATCCAAAGGCACTCTCCCCGATGACCACACAATATTGCAGAGGCGTGTCACCCAGGACAGCCACTCAACATCCAGAGCCTTAAAGAACTCCAGGCGGATCTCATCCAACCCTGGGGCTTCGCCACCAAGGAGCTTTTTAACCACCTCGGTGACTTCAACCCCAGAGATAGGAGAGCCCACCTCAGAGTCCTCAGATCCTGCTTCCTCTAAGGAAGTCATGTTGTTGGAGTTGGGGAGGTCTATGAAGTATTCTTTCCCATTCTTGCTTGATGTACAGCTTCAACTGTTCACCAGTCCGGGATCTCCGTTCTCGTCTTTTACGCTTCATAATGCACCACACATTTTCAATAGGAGACAGGTCTTGACTGCAGACAGGCCAGTCTAGTACCCTGCACGCTCTTGCTAGCTGTTATAATAAGTGCAGAATGTGGTTTGTCATTGTCTCATTGAAATAAGTAGGAGCGTCCATGAAAAAGACATTGTGAGGATTGCAGCATATGTTTCTCCAAAACCTGTATGTACATTTCAACATTATTGGTCCCTCCACAGATGAGTTACCCATGACATTAGCACTAACACAGCCCCATACAATCACAGATGCTGGCTTTTGAACTTTGCGTCCCTACAGTCCGGATTGTTCTTTTCCTCTTTGGCCCAGAGGAAACGGCATCCACAATTTCCCAAAACAATTTGAAATGTGGACTCATCAGACCACAGAACACTTTTCCACTTTACATCAGTCCATCTCAGATGAGCTCGGGCCCAGAGAAGATGGCGGCGTTTCTGAGTGTTGTTGATAAATGGCTTTTGCTTTGCAGTATGTGTGTGTGTGTGTATGTGTGTGTGCGTGTGCGTGCGTGCGTGCGTGCGTGTGTATTCTGTATTGTACCTTTGAATCACCTTACAGTATATTCCCCACGGTCACCGCTCATCCCTCTTTGCAAAGGGGTGTCAGGAGACGTACATACGTACATGTGTACAATCAAAAACAAAGTTGTCAAGAGGGGGAATTTCATTTCAGCTATTAAACAGCTATTAAACAAACAAACAAACAAACAAACAAAAAGACAGAAAACCATCACCCAACATTAGTGATTGAACCACAAAGTATAATGGTGCCTGGCAGCCACTAATTTTGACTTTTTAGTACCATGTCCAATACTGGTGGGGTAGTATGTTGTTATATTCCAAAGATAAAAATCCCCACTGTGATATTTGACATTTCTTGCTGGTACTCAATGTTTTCATGACTATCAATTAGTACATGACCTGGTCATTGTATATTCAATCGGCTCTTCAAGGCCAAACTTCTTTTTAATCAATGTTCTTCTGTTTCCATCATTATATTGAACGAGTTTTCTTTTTTGTATTTTGCGGTTATTAGCAACCACAGCCCCAGATCAGGTAGGTTGCGTTGAGACAGCTGGCATGCGCAAAAGTGCTATCCGCTGCTGCATTGTAGCCGAACTGCATTTGCATGAAGTCAGACACTTGTTGCATTATTTGAGTTATTGAAGAAAGCTTTTTAAAGAGTAGCGCAATATATGACACTAAGTCATTGAAACTTAATGGATACAATCTAAAAAGTATTTGAATGTTTTTTAGGAGTAACCCATTGTGCAAAAGTAAAAGACAATGTGCCTTCTGGCTTCCCTGCTGAGATGCTCATTCTTGCTCTATAACTGAGTTACAGTCAGTTACCATACAAGCTGAGTGCTAATATTCTTATGGGCATGCATCTTGCATGGCAAAAGCTTGATGTGCTTCATGTGCAAGCTGAAATGCTAATATAGCCAAAACATTTGCCAACCTTATTTTTCTGTTATTGTTCTCTGTGTTTTGTCATTGAAGGAGCTGGTAGGACCCGTGGTTAGTAATAGGCCAGTCATTGATTCCATACTACCCCAACTTTCTCCAGGTGTATCCACTGTGAAGATGAATGCAGCTTACCCAGGTGTTTACCCTTTACGTATTAGACAAGCAAAACACTAAAGTCGTGTAAATCTATATTATCTATTATTATTGTATGACTAAAATTGTTGTGTGCTCAACACTAAACTAAATCACAGCTCTTGAGGAAAACGCGTTTCCAACACAATTAAAAAGTGTATTTTGTTGGGAACAAAATAATGAAAAATGATCATTTATGACCCATTGAGGATTGATGAAAGAACCATCCTCAAAATCAGTGAAGGATCCAACTTCTCGGAAAATCTCATTATAAGTCATTATAGGCAGCAATAGCTTCTCTGTAAGGACTTGGGCTTTGGAACCGCAAGGTCACGATTTAATTCCAGCTGCAGACAAAACGAAATAGGAAGAAAAGTGACTTGCAAAAGTACTCAGCCCCGTTGAACTTTTGACCCGTTGCCACATTCCAGGCTTCAAACATAAATATATAAAAGTGGATTTTTTTTCCAACACCAAGATGGACACAATCATGAAATGGAATGAAATTCATCTGAGATTTTAAACTTTTTTTTAAAATAAAAAACTGAAAAGTGGGGTGTGCGATATCATTCGGCCCTTTTACTGTCGGTACAGCCAACTCCAGAAGTTCCCTGATGATTTGTCCTGAAAGTATTCAGGTTTATGTGGGACTGAAGTGCTGCTACAAAGTGGTAACAATAATAATAGCCATTTGGGCCATTTTCTTAAGTCTGCAATTATGACAGAAACTCAGCTAAATCTGTCATCTATCGTTAGCGTCAAAACTTTGAGACAGGTACATATTGCCAAAGGAGTAGAAAATGAAAACAAAGCTTATAGCATCTTCATAACGTGTTTTGTTGCCAGTATAGTTTCAATACACCCCATCAAAGATAATCAGAAAGGCATTTTTACATGCAGTAAAAGTTTGGCACAAAAGGTAGCTTTTTGGTGGACCGAAAGTAATGAAGTGTTAACAACATAATAAGAAGACAAAAGTATTACTCTGTGATTGGTATCAGGATTTCAGTTGCACTGTAAATTCGCACAGCTGCAAATTTTGCTTGGTCCTAGCAGCGGGAGATTTCAGAATTAATTATATTTATGACAGCAATTTATAGAATGGGAGACGCCAAAGAGCGGGTAGAGCCAAAGAGTTGCATATGTTGTTTAGTCACAGCAGCAATAGAAATCACATTTTGTTTTATTTAAGATGGTGTTTGTGAGAATGCCAAAAGAGGGGAAGAGCCAAACATCTAAAACAATCAAACAAACAACAATTGTAAACATCGGGTGAGCTAACTGAGCTATACATATGTAATAATTTTGTGCAGCCTGTCTTTTTTTTTCCTGAGGGTCGACCCATCTACTTTGGGCATCAGGTGGGGTACACCCTGGATAGGGTTGCCAGCCAATTGCGGGGCAGACGATTATTTAAGTCGCAACAATAGACAAACTTGGTCTTCCTGAATTAATACTGTACTCCAGAAACAATTATATGTTGTCATATTTTTATTGGACACACCATGTGAACACATTCATCAATGCTCCAAGAGCCAGTCAAACAAGAGTTCAATGCGACATGATTGATGGTGTTGGTTCAAGCTGCCCTTCCATTTAAAAAAAACAAAACAAAACACACTCCAGTTTAGAATTTTCTGTCCTCAAGAAGGTTTACCCAATGTGAACCATGCCTCATACAAGAGCTCTCAGAAAACCTACAATTAGGAACTTTTAGTTTACATTCAAAACTATCTCTAAAAGCTTTAAGGTTCATTATTGCATGGTAAAACAGATTGGCTTTGGTCAAGGGAAAGACAGACAGCTTTATTTATGTAGCACATTTCTGAAGGACGGTAACTCTGTGCTTCACATAATTAAAAGTACATTTAAAAACATTTACATTGACAAACAAAACTCTTAGACTTTACATTTTAAAGCAAAGTAAATAAAAAAGTAGCTTACCAAAATAGCTAAAAGAACTTCAAGTGATGACATTTTCAAGCAGTCACAAAGAGAAGAGTCAGACATTTAAAAACAAAGTAAAGCAAGAAAAAATATCTTTCTAAGATTAATAAAAGAAAGTAAAGTGAAACGGATTAAAAAAGTCATAAATTTAGGAAAAAAATGCATATATATATATATATATATATATATATATATACACATACACACATGGGCGTGTATATACACAAAGATAGGTATGCAATTTTAAAGGTGAATAAGATTTAAATTGTATTACAGTACTCAATAACAGTCTGATAAAATATTGACAATTTTGCTCCCTCTACACTCGAGCATTCAAACCTTGATGACATCATTACAGTTTTATACTTAGAGGCAATTCATGAGTTAAATATTGTGACACGACTTTTTAAAAACTTTTTTTTCCTGTCTTTGCTGAGTTGTATTTTATTGAAGCAATCAAGGTGGAATATTACCAAATAGATAAAACTTTTACTGTAGATTTTTTTCAGGAAATAAAGTGGAATCTCATTTTTTTCTGATTAAAATAAATCTGAAGAATAAAGTTGTATCTCTTTGGAGGGGCGTAATATGAGAAAGTTAGATATTTGTAGTGAGAAAAATAAAAGTTTCATATTGCCTGAATAAATATTTTGAAGAAAGCCGTATTCCTTCCCGGAAACCCGTTTTTAATTTTATTCCAGGTTGACTCCAGGGTTTGTCCAAGTTGTGGTATCGGGATCTCGAGTGGTGTTCGGGCTCACTCTCGTGGCACTTGAAAGAATTCCCGCTCACCAATCACCGCCTCTGAACTTTCAAAGGCATCCCTCAGTCAGTCTGGGGGGGGGGGGGGCGCCTGGCAAG